CAGCATCAGGAGCCAGAGAGGGTTTCAGTGAGGCGAACAATGCATTTGAGGCTACTTTAAAATATATTATTCTCAGCCGTGTGTGGCGACTCATGCCTGTAATCCCAGCCCTTTGGGAGGCCGAACTGGGTAGATTGCCTGAGGTCAGGAGTTTGAGACCAGCCTGGTCCACATGGCGAAATCCCAGCTCTACTAAAAATACAAAACTTAGCCGGGCATGGTGGTGTAATCCCAGCTACTCAAAAGGTTGAGGCAGGAGAATCACTGGAACCCGGGAGACGGAGTTTGCAGTGAGCCAAGATCACGCCACTCCACTCCAGCCTGGGCAACAGAGCAAGATTTTGTCTCAGTAAAATGAAATATTCTACTTGGCAGTTTGAGCAATGTATACAGCTATGCCAATAATGTTGGCAAAGATGGTGAGAGAGTTTACTTGTCCATTGGATAAGTGGAGAAATATCTGAGAGGTAAAATTAGCAAAATTTGTTGATAATTGACATGGAGGGAGGGAGATTGAGGACCCCAGGATGCTGGCAGGCAGGTGTGTGGGAATGAATTACTGTCTGTGTCAGCTGCAATTTAGCGAGGCACACCGAAACCACTCTGTGTATAGCCTTTAACACAGAGGGAATGAATGCAGGGATCGGTTACATCCTGATGGAAGAAACTCCCTGAGAGGTCACCTAGGACACTAGTGTTAGCCCAGCCCAGCCACAGGAAGCTGTTAGCACCTCCAGAGTCGAGAGACGGTGGATGGAGGCATCATGACAACAGCCCAGGGCGGTGTCGCATGGGAGGCTGGAACCACAGGTGGGTCTCCTTGAATGGAACTGGGGCCACTGCCAGAGATTTCAAAGCAGAGAGGGAGGACAAGGAGGACCCAGCTTCTCGGCCCATCTACCCCTCAGCCTTGTCAGTGCTCCAGCTGGCCCCTCCCCAGGAAACCAGTTCCCACGGGAGCCTGGGAAATGCAGCAGGCTGGAGTCAGCCTTTCTGGGACACAGAAGCGAGCTGGAAAGGGGGAGGATTGAGTCTGGGCGCCCGCATTATCAGCCCAAGTGGGTGACGAGAAGAAGGGAAGCTGCCCTGGGGTGGGTGACGATGTGTCCATTTCTGAACACAGAGAGTCTGAGGTGCTTGTGGGATGTCTGTTCAGCGGGGCACGTGTTCTGCAGTTATTGGGGTTACAGGGGTCAGTTACTTGGACCCCTGATTCTGAAGATGGGGGTGGGGAAGGCAGGCCTGCATATGCAGACTCGGGATTGACCAGCCTTCAGGTGGTAGTGACAGTAGTTCTAGCAATGGATGTGTTCATAGGGTAGTAAAAGCATGGTTTTTGTTGGTTTTGGTTTTTTTGAAACAAGGTCTCTTTCTTTCACCCAGGCAGGAAAGCAGTGGTAGTCATGGCTCACTGCAGCCTCGATTTTCCAGGCTCAAGGGATCCTCCCCTCTCAGCCTCCTGAGTAGCTGGGACTAAAGCCATGCACCACCACTCCATAAACATTAGTAATTTTTTATGAGTGGAATATTATTGTGTTGCCCAGGCTGGTCTCCAGTTCCTGAGCCCAAGCGATCCTCCTGCCTTGGTCTCCCAAAGTGCTGGGATTAGGGCCAGTTGTGGTGGCTCACACCTGTAATCCCAGCACTTTGGGAGGCCAAGGTGGGTGGATCACCTGAGGTCAGGAGTTCAAGACCAGCCTGGCCATGATGGTGAAACCCCATCTTTAAAATAAATAAATAAATAAAATTTTTTTAAAGTGCTGGGATTACCGGCATGAGCCAGCATGCCTGGCCTGTTTGTTTTTTTTTGAGATGGAGTTTCGCTCTTGTTGTCCAGGCTGGAGTGCGATGATGCGATCTCAGCTTACCACAACCTCTGCCTCCCAGGTTCAAGTGATTCTCCTGCCTCAGCCTTCAGAGTAGCTGGGACTACATGCACCTGCCACCACGCCTGGCTAATTTTTTGTATATTTAGTAGAGACAGGGTTTCTCCATGTTGGTCAGGCTGGTCTTGAATCCCCAACCTCAGGTGATCTGCCTGCCTTGGCCTCCCAAAGTGCTGGGATTACAGGTGTGAGCCAGCACGCCTGGCCTGTTTTTTTTTTAAAAATGTAAAAAAAAAATTGAACTATTTTCCAAATGGTTGAGTCATGTTATACTCCCAGCAGCTGTTTGAGAGCTCTAGTTGCCCTCATCTGTCCATTATTTAGTCTTTTTAACTATTTTAGCAAGTGTGAAATATACCTTATTGTGGTTTTAATTTGCATTTCTCTGGTGGCCTGTGAGGTTGAACAGCTCAGGAAAAGCTTTTATATTGGCCCTTGTGAACATATTGTGAGGATGATCTCCTCTGAAGCCTTCTGGAAGAGATTGGAGAAAGTTAGAGAGTGGAGTTAATTAATTAGAGTGGAGTAAATGAGAAGGTGGTGGGGGGTGGGGGGCGGGCAGTCTCCTTCTAGCCTCCAGGTCTCAGGCACCTTCTCTCTCTTTTTTTTTTTTTTTTTTTGAGACGGAGTTTCACTCTTGTTACCCAGGCTGGAGTGCAACGGCACGATCTCGGCTCACCGCAACCTCCGCCTCCTGGATTCAGGCAATTCTCCTGCCTCAGCCTCCCGAGTAGCTGGGATTACAGGCACGCGCCACCATGCCCAGCTAATTTTTTGTATTTTTAGTAGAGACGAGGTTTCACCATGTTGACCAGGATGGTCTCGATCTCTCGACCTCGTGATCCACCCGCCTTGGCCTCCCAAAGTGCTGGGATTACAGGTTTGAGCCCCTGCGCCCGGCCTTTTTTTTTTTTTTTTTTTTTTTAAGTTGGGGTTTCACTGTGTTGACCAGGCTGGTTTCTTCTGAGCTTAGGCAAATCCACTTGCCTTGGCCTCCCAAAGTGCTGGGATTACAGGCGTGAGCCACTGTGCCTGGTCTCCTTCATATGTCAAGAATTGTGGGCCCAGCGCAGTGGCTCATGCCTGTAATCCCAGCACTTTGGGAAGCTGAGGCAGGCGGATCACCTGAGGTGGGGAGTTCAAGACCAGCCTGGCCAACATGGTTAAACTCCATCTCTATTAAAAATACAAAAAAATTATCTGGGCATGGTAGTGGATGCCTGTAATCCCAGCTACTCGAGAGGCTGAGGCAGGAGAATCGCTTAAACCCAGGAGGCAGAGGTTTACTGTGAGCCAAGATTGCACCACTGAATTTCAGTCTGAGTGACAGAGTGGGACTCCATTTCCAAAAAAAAAAAAAAAAAAATGTGGAGCCTGGGCAACATAGCGTGACCCTGCCTCTACCAAAAAAAAAAAAAAAAAAAAAAAAAATTTAGTCACATGTGGTGGTGGGTGCCCTTAGTCCCAGCTACTCAGGAGGCTGAGGTGGGAAGATTCTTTGAGCCCAGGAAGTTGTGACCGCAGTGAGCTATGACCGCGCCACTGCACTTCAGTCTGGGTGACAGTGAGACCCTGTCTCTAAATAAATAAAAAAGAATTGTGGGGTTCTCTGAGTTTCAAGGTGTGAACTTAGAGCCTGAAAGGTGTGCAGTTCAAAGCCTTATTTTACCACTTGCTTGCTGGAACGTGCACACCGTTTTCTCAGCTGTAAAATGGAAACAGCATCTATTTGTGGGGTTGCTGTGAGAATTAAGTCATGTTGGTAAAGGGAACAGCTTACTGTCTGGCACTCCACATGAGCTCAGCAAGTTATTATCGGTTTTGTTACTGGAATAATTAAAGGGGTGCTACAGATCGTCCCTTTTCCCCCAGATGAGGAAACTGAGGCCTGGAAAAATTAAAATAAGTATCCAGTGCAACTGGCTGATTAGGGCACAGGTGATCCGCCCACCTCAGCCTCCCACAGTGCTGGGATTACAGGCATGAGCCACCACGCCCGGCCCAAGGATTCTTACAGATAGGGCATTGTCTCAGTATTAGACCAATATGGTTTTCTTCTTGTTTGCGTTTTTCAAAAAACACCAGCAACCAAGTAATAAATACAAGGTGAATTTTGTTCCATCTAGTGTCTCTCCCCATGTCCGGTCCCTTTAGGATCCGTGGGGAGGGGATGGAGATTCGCTTTGGGTTGTTTATTTATGACCTCACTCTATTCATCATTCCTACTTAATGTCGAAAAAGATACGACTGTGTGTGCCAAGTTCTGCCTTTTGGATAGTTTATGCTCATCCAGAGCTTCTCTTGAGTTTCTAAGGGCAGGGCAGGAACCAACACTCCACCCTTCCAGGGGAACGGAGAGGAAGCCAGCGAAGTTGCCTCGGGTCAAGAGAATTTTTCAAAATACTGCAAAAGCAATAGTGCTCACAAATGCTCGGCTAAAACCTTCGCAGAGCTGTCAGAGGGCAAAGCTTTAGGAGGAAGTGGGTGCAGCTATGGATTGCGCAGCTCCGGCCCGCGGCCCCGCACGCGCATCATCCGGGCCTAAAAAGGTCAAATCCAACACTCTCGTCCGTGTCCCTCATCTCCAAGAACCATTTCCTCGGCAGCCCCAGATCGCTCCCAGACCCCACGCTCCCCAAACTGCGGGTGCTCCGCGTGTGGGCGTCAGGGACGGCCTCCGAACCCCGGAGGTTAAGGCCCAGCGCCCGCGCCTCCGCTTCTCCGCAGCCACGGGACCGCCAAGCGGCAAGTGGAAGCCCAGCCTTCTCCCCGCCCGGGAGACTGGGCAGGGGAGCAGCTGCGGGGACGGACAGAGCCTCTGGAGCCTCAGTTCTGGGGCGCGGAGCGCGCCAGGGTCACAGTGGGGCGTCCACGACGGCGCCAGGCGCGCTCCGCCGACCCGGAAGTAGCGGCGCCACAGGCGCGCTGCGGAGACGTCACCAGTACGCGGCACAGGAGGCGGGAGCGCTTTTGGCTTTGCGCACTTGCGTCATCACGCGGGTGGCGGGGGTCCCGTGATGGGGAGGTGACGTAAGCGTCACGGAGGCGGCGGTGGGCGGGGACAGGGAGTGAGCCGAATCTAGCCCTGCCTCTTAAAGCCTCCCGACCCTTTCGCTGTTGGCGCAGCGCGGCGACCGGGTGCGGCGCCTTTAAGCGTCGTCGTGACACGTGTGTGAGGCGCCGGAGGCCCGGATGCTGCGCTTGCAGGGCCGCGGGCCGGAGGGGAAGCCAGGGTTGTCCGGGTTTGCGGTGCGCCCGCGGAGAGGCCGGGGTAGGCTGAAGCCGGAGTAGGCTGGGGTCGGGTCGGGGCGGCGCGCAGGCCGGGGGACGAGGCGGGGCAGGTGGCTTCCGTGAAGGCTTGGGGCACGGGAAGGGCCGGCGGGGCGCAGCCGGGGCGCTCCGGGAGGACGTGGGCCCGCGTCCGAGGAGGGCCTGGGATACGCCTCCCGCCCGCGAGCTCGGCGTCTCCCCATGGAGGGTCCGGGGCCGGGCTGTCCTCGCCGCTCTCCGCCGTGCCCTGGGCTGGCGATGGGGGCCGCAGGTGCCCGCCGTCTGCGCAGGATCCAGGCCGACTCCGGAGAGGCTGAGGTCGGAATCGGGGCCAGGGCGTCCCGTGCGGCCGCAGAGCCCAGCGTGGCGGGCGCGCTCCCGGGGTGGACGCCGTCCTCGAGGCTGTGGAGAAGGCCGCGGAGCTTGGGGCGGGGTGCGGTTCCGATGCCGCCGTTCCCGGCGGGTGGCGTGGGCGTCCTGGGCCCCGGGCCGGCGTGGCGGCCGCCAAACCCAGACGCACGAGAGGGGAGACTTCCCGAGCCCGGGTTTACGTAACGCTCGTCACGGAGCCAGGCTCGGGGAGAGGCGCTCGGGTCGCTGTGTCCGGGACGGGCGCTGCCGAGTCGCCGGGGAGGCCCGTGGAGCGCGGCGCTGGGTCCCGGGAGGCGCTGTTTCCTTGGGCTCCTCCCCCCAGCACGTGGTTTTGACCCTGCGAGCCTCCATTGCAGTTTATCCTGGAAAAGTGACTTTAGGAGGAGGAGGGAGAGGGAGTTAGCCTCCATGGTGCCGACTGGGGTTCGCGCAGGTGGAGATGTGGATGCGGCCCGTGCTGTGCCTGGACCGGAGGGAGCATCCTCCCTGCGTCGGGAAGAGCGTTGATGGTGTGTGCATCGGAGGGCTTTGCCGGTGATCACAGGAACACTCGTCTCGGGCTCCCACACGTCAGAGAGCGAGCGAGTGTTATTTAGGTTATTGCCTAATGTTTTAGGTCGAATTGGTGAAGCAGAGGTTGACCTGTCACACTTGAAAAATTGTGTTAAAAATCTCTGCATCTACACTAAGGAGTGGGTTAAGTTGACAGTTAACTTATTTCGACTGAAATTGGGTTACATCCCAAGTGTCGTGCATCCCCTCCCTAAGTGGTTCTCAAACGTTGGTGGTGGTGCAGGACAAAGTTCTCACCTTCCGGGGTGGATGACGGCCCTCACACAAAGCAGTGATGCTGTTGGCAGTTTTTCATACAACTAGATGTCTTCACTTTATACATTGTCCTTTATTCTAAGATCATTTCCTTACACATTTTTGGGGAGTTGATACGCTTTTATTTGTGGATGAAATCATAGCTCTGAGATTTGCTGCAGACTTACTTGGGGATGGGAGGTGACTCAGGATGGGTCAGACATAATTACTGAGGCAGAGTAAGGGGGCTCATGTGCTCACTGTGCTGTTCTGCGTTTGTGTGTTTGAATGTTTTCACTACAAAGTGTTTTTACGGACCTTAATTTTCTGTAATCATAGTGTTGGTAATGAAAGAGAAATGATCCATCTACGATTACCATAATGAGAGAGAAAAATCCACACTTAGCAAAGCAAGATTTTGGCAACTCCTGTTACTCCGTCAGGTTTGTTGTTGTTGTTATTGAAGTTTTACTGGTTCATTAAATCCAACATTTTTTTATTACCTCTTACTCTTTGTGAGATTAGACTGGCATTGACTGGCAGGTGTGGGGACGTTTTCGTTCTCTGGGCTTGTCTGGTGTCAGGGTTAAGATGCAGCGTGGCGGTGTTGTTCATATCGTGTGCATTGCAACAGCCGGTGATGAGGTAGCCTCATCCTGAGTGCACGTGTGGATGCTCCTTGAGCTTTAAGGACAGCTTTTTCTGGGTAGAGGGTTGCCGGTGCCACGCGGCATCCCAGGAAAGTAGCTAAAGAGATGGCGCAGGAAGAGAGTTGGCCTCCACTGCTGGTCGTCCTGTCCCTCCTACAGGCTGTGAGCCCGCTCCGTGGCTTCGGTGATTTAACAGGCCAGAGCCCAGGAACACTTACATTCAGGAGCCCCGTGTAGTACCTGCCCAGCCAAACACAGTCCCATCCTGCACCTCCCCGCCACCCAAGATTCTGGTTCCGTGCTGCAAGCCAGCAGGCCAGAGTCTGTACATCACAGGGGAGTCTGTGAGGCTTCTGTGTATTTTTTGATTCCACTGAATTGCCTGCATGTGACCCAGCAGTGATTGTTCAGTTGGTGAGAAGTCTTAGATAATTCTTACTAGAAAAGGCTTTTATTTTCTCAAATCAGACAACTTCTAATGCTTGTTTTTTTTTTTTTTTTAAATAAGCATTTTCTTTACAGAAACTTTTTTTTCCCACATTATTCTTACAAGCCTAATTTTTTTTTTTTAAAAAAGATGAGGTCTCACAATGTTCCCCAGGCTGGATTGCACTGGCTGTTCACAGACATAATCGTAGCTCACTGCAGCCTCCAACTCCTGGCCTCAAGTTATCCTCCTACCTCAGCCTCCCAAGCATCTGGGCCTCTAGGCCCAGACCACTGCACCTGACTTTTCTTTACAGACGTTTTTATGGAAAAAGATACTTGATCCATGTATGGAATTAGTTGATCCACAGTGATCAATTTGAATGGCTTAATAAAAGGTGCTGGAGGAGGTCCTTACTTTCACTAGAGCAGAATTTTGGGGTACACGTGACTTGCTGATTATTTCAGGGCAGGCTGGGTACTGAATACCAGAGGAAGTCGTCATTTTTCTGATATTCGTGAAGCAATTTAAGGGACGTAATTTTGAAATTGTGACTCAAATAGTCTGTGCTGTGTTTGGGAAGGTTACTTGAGAGGTAGTGGGTAGGGAAGGAAAGTGGTGTATACACAGGTAGCAGTTGGAGAGGCGCAGGGGTCTCTTGGTGACGGTTTCTATGCAGCTGCACCAATAGTGTGCATCCTCTGTTAGCAAGCTCTAAAGCACTTCCCAAGACTGTTATTTTTGTTGTTATTTTACAATAGAAAAGGAGGTTTGGAGAAGTCACTCTGGGTTTCAGAGATAAGGGTGATAGAACCTCCCAGGGCCACTACATTCCAAAGCCTGTGATCTACCCACTCGCCTGCTTTGGTTTTCTTCCTCTCTGTTGGTAAGTGGCCTGGAAGACACTTGCTTATGTGTAGAGGTGTCTCATGGATACTGTTCTCTAGGCCTGCTGCTTGCTCTTTTTCTCCTACCTCACTTTTAGAAAGATAATTTGTATTGTTTTGTTTTGTTTTGTTTTGTTTTGTTTTGAGATGGAATCTTGTTGTTACCCAGGCTGGAGTGCAATGGCGCTATCTCGGCTCACTGCAACCTCTGCCTCCCGGGTTCAAGCAGTTCTCCTGCCTCAGCCTCCTGAGGAGCTGGCCTTACAGACGTGCACCACCATGCCCAGCTAATTTTTTAATTTTTAGTAGAGACGGGGGTTTCACCATGTTGGCCAGGCTGGTCTTGAATTCCTGACCTGGTGATCCGCCCACCTTAGCCTCCCAAAGTGCTAGGATTGCAGGCGTGAGCCACTCTACTCCTGGCCTAGAAAAGTAATTTGTACAAGCACTGTCTAATAGAAACATAATACAAGCCACAAATATAATTTATGATATTGTGGTAGCCACATTGAAAAGAAGCAGGTGAAATTCATTTTCATAATTTATTTAACCCAACATGTATAAAATAGTACCATTTCAACATGCAACTGATCTAAAGATTACCGGGGTGTTTTGCATTTTCTTCTTATACTGGTGTTTATTTCTTTTCGAAATCTGGTGTGCACCTTACACTTACAGCACCTCTCAACCTGGACTAGCCTCATTTCACATGCCCAGTAGCCACGTGTGGCCTGTGGCCTTCATATTGGAGAGTGCGGGTCTGTAGAGACATGCTTGCTTATCTGACCTGCATGTGAATTCATTGCATGGGTGTGTGTAACCAGTTTGTATGTGAGAATTAGCGTCCCCTTGTTTTTGAGCAGACAGTTGGACCACATGATGGCCTTTTGAGGGAAGTGGCATCAAGAGTGATGCCCAGAGCCACTTGATGAACATCTGCTGAAGAGGCGCACCTGGCAGGGGCTGTGTGGCTGCCTCAGGCCGCAGTTGTCTGCTCAGCTCCATGTGTGGCAGCAGCTCCACTATGTCCCAATGGTTAGTGATGGGTCTCCTTGTTTCACGCTTCCTTTGTAGGGCTGGCAGCTGATCCAGGGGAGCTTTTGTGGTGGCTAGCATCCGTGATGACCCAAGAGGAGATCTTTTTTATTTTTTATTTTTGACTCCACCTTGTGTGTAACCAAAGAGGAGCTCTTAAGAGCTGATTTCGTCCTGGGATTTAGTTACGCCTTGCTCTCTGTTTCTTCGTGTCCCCACAGTGATGCACCATGCCCATAGTGGATAAATTGAAGGAGGCCCTCAAACCCGGCCGCAAGGACTTGGCTGATGATGGAGAACTGGGGAAGCTTCTGGCCTCCTCTGCCAAGAAGGTCCTTTTACAGAAGATCGAATTCCAGCCTGCCAGCAAGAGCTTCTCCTACCAGCTGGAGTCTTTAAAGAGCAAATATGTGTTGCTCAACCCCAAAACAGAGGGAGCCAGTCGCCACAAGAATGGAGACGACCCGCCCGCCAGGAGACAGGGTACAGATGTGCAGTGTGCTGGCAGAGAGGCCCTCACTCCGGGGTGACCAAGTGGATGGACTTAAATGTTGTAGTTAGTAGGAAAAACAGCAGAATGTGGTGAGAGAGTTCTGAGTGTGTATATGCACTCGGTGGGTTTCAGCTGTAAAGCGATGATACGGGGTTTGTAGGAGGGAAGTCTGTGTACTTGGAGGGCCCTTGGGACTTGCTGGTCCCTTTCCCAAGTATAACACAGTCAGAAGTCAGGCCTGGAACTAAGAAACGGAGGAGGGGGAGCTGCATGGGGGCACGGTGTGGTGCAGAGTGCCAGGGCCTGGCTCCTTCACCCACTCTCTGAACCATGCCCTCCATCCCTCGAGGGGTCTTTGGAATCTAGACCCAAGCAGCCTGGGAGGTCTGTGGGGTGACGGGGTTTACTCCTGAGCTTTCCAGGAAAGTCCAGTAAGTGGAACACCAGTTCCCTGTTGCTGCGTTCCGAGTCACTGCATGCTAAGTGTATGCACCAGGAGTTCCTTTTTTTGTGTGTTCGACTTGTGTGTGGACTTAGGTCTTTCTCTCTTGTTCCCTTGTCCCTTTCTTCCTCAGGCAGTGAGCCCACGTATGAAAGCTGTGGCGATGGAGTCCCAGCCCCACAGAAAGTGCTCTTCCCCACGGAGCGGCTGTCTTTGCGGTGGGAGCGGGTCTTCCGTGTGGGCGCAGGACTCCACAACCTTGGCAACACCTGCTTTCTCAATGCCACTATCCAGTGCTTGACCTACACGCCGCCTCTGGCCAACTACCTGCTCTCCAAAGAGCATGCCCGCAGCTGTGAGTGTGGTTTTGCCGCGGTGGGGTGGCTGCGGGTCCTTGGGATTAGCTAAGCCCATGCTCTTGTGGTCCTGCTGAGCTCAGTCTGGATGAAATTTAGGAGTGCGGTTCTTTTTGAGTAGTAACTTAGGAAACCTGAATTTGAATCATGCCTGCTGCAGAATGGGCCGTGAAGATGAGTCACTCAGGTGGGATGGTGTTCAAAAAGCTTTTCTGTAAATAATTACCCAGACAGAAAGAAAGGTTTTCAAATAATACTTCCAAAATACGTATATTCAATTATTATTTTTTAGAGACCGTGTCTTGCTCCATCACCCAGGCTAGAATGCAGTGGCCCCATCATAACTCACTGTACTCTTTTTTGAGATGGAGTCTCTCTCTTTGTTGCCCCGAGTGGAGTGCAGTGATGCAGTCTCGGCTCACTGCAACCTCTGCCTCCTGAGTTCAAGAGATTCTCCAGCCTCAGCCTCCCTAGTAGATGGGGCTACAGGCAGGTGCCACCACACTGGGCTAATTTTTGTATAATTATTATTTTTAGTAGAGACGGGGTTTTACCATATTGGTCAAGCTGGTCTCGAAGTCCTGACCTCCTCACTGTGGTCTTGAACTCTTGGGCTCAAGTGATCCTCTCATCTCCACCTCCCAAAGTGCTGGGATTGTAGGTGTGAGCCACCGTGCCTGGCCCAGTTTTATGCATTTGTTGTACCAGGGTATCTTAAATGTATTGTAAAACATGCAGCCTGCGTAACACAGCAAGATCCTGTCTACAAAAACAAGAACAGGCATGGGGGCTCACACCTGTGGGAGACAAGACGGGCAGATCACTTGAGCTCAGGAGTTCAAGACCAGCCTGGCTAACATGTTGACACCCCATTTCGACTAAAAATAACAAAAATTAGTTAGGTGTGGTGATGCACACCTTTAATCCCAACTACTGGGGAGACTGAGGCAGGAGAATCATTTGAACCCAGGAGGCCGAGGTTGCAGTGAACTGACCAAGTTCACATCACTGTGCGCCAGCCTGGGCGACGGAGTGAGACTCCATTTCACACACACAAAAAACAAATCAAAACAATTAGCTGGATGTGCTCTAGTTGATTAAAATGGAGGTGAAATAAGATATAACTTACCAAAACCTGAAGGAAATAGAAAGTGGAGAGTCTTCTATTAAGTTAAAGCAGTGGTTAGTCGTCCCACACACCAGGCACCGTGGCTTACGCCCGTAATCCCAGTACTTTGGGAGGTTGGGGCAGGTGGATCACAAGATTAGGAGTTTCGGACCAGCCTGGCCAAGATGGTGAAATCCAGCCTCTACTAAAATTACAAAAATTACCCGGGCGTGGTGGCAGGCACCTGTAATCCCAGTTGGGAGGCTGAGGCAAGACAATCACTTCAACCCAGGTGGCAGAGATTGCAGTTACCCGAGATCGTGCACCACTGTGCTCCAGCCTGGGTGACAGAGTAAGACTGTGATTCAAAAAATAACAAAAAAATCTTCCCATGAAAAATACCAAGCAGAAACAACATTATTTCTTTGTAACTTTTTTTTTTTTTTTTTTTTTGAGACGGATGTCACCCAGGATGGAGTGCAGTGGTGTGATCTCAGCTCACTGTAATGTCTGCCTCCTGGGTATAAGCAGTTCTCCTGTGTTAGCCTCCTGAGTAGTTGGGACTATAGATGCATGCCACCACACCTGGCGAATGTTTGTATTTTTAGTAGAGATGGGGTTTCACCATGTTGCTCAGGCTGGTCTCGAACTCCTGACCTCAGGTGATAGCCTGCCTTTGTCTCCTAAAGTACTAGGATTACAGGCATGAGCCACTGCACCCAGCCGATTTCTGTGTAACTTTTAAGAAATAATTCCAGTCTTTTGTACATTCTTCCGAAGAAGAGGGAGAGTCCTTCCCAGCTCATTCTATAAAGTTTCTGTAACTCAGGTAACAATAATAAGGAAAATATGAGAAAGGAAATTGATAACCACAACTTATTCACGAACATAGATATAAGAATTCTAGGAAAATACCACCAAATGACATAGGTTCTAAGAAACTGTAAGCAACTTGTGTTTATCCTAGGAATGCAAGGATGCTTTCATCTCAGAACATCTCTAGAATTCTGGAAAGAGCAGAGCAGTCGAAAGCACAGCTCAGGAGCCTGGCCTGCAGGCTTTGCTTCCCGGCTCTGCCCCTGAGCTTTTGAGAATCCCCCTGGTCTGTGGAAGAGTGAGACTGTCTTCCTCACACCGTTGTGTGAGGCTCAGATGAATTCTGAGTAAGTCAAGTACCTGGAGTAGCAATTGCAAACGGCTACCGAAGGGACTGCGGACGGGACTGCTACCTTTGCCACCTCAACTGCTATTGCTTTATTAACAGAGTAAGGGAAATGGTCACCTGAAAATAGATGTTTGCTAAAAATATATATGATTTAAAAAATCTTAGCAAAGTAGCAACAGAAGGACCATTTCCTGGCTGGACTTGGCACCTCACACCTGCAGTCCCGGTGCTTTGGGAGACTTGAGGTGGGAGGATTGCTTAGGGAAAGAAAAAGGGACATTTTCTTCACCTAGTAAACCTAGTACCTACCAGAACAGAAGCTACAAAAAGCATCATTTTAATTTCTTTTCTTTTTTTTAGAGACAGGGTCTTGCTCCGTTGCGCAGGCCATAGGGTAGTGGTGGTGCCATCTTAGCTTATTTGATTGAATTAGAGGTGAAGCTCCTGGGCTCCTGTGGTAGACTACATAAGCCAATGATTTTCTTATGGCCCTTTTAAAATGAATGTATCAGCCAGGTGTGATGGCTCATGCCTGTAATCCAGCACTTTGGGGGAGGCCAAGGCAGGAAGATAGCTTGAGGCCAGCCTGGGCAACATAGTGAAACCCTTGCATAGTGAGATCTCTACAAAAAAATCAAACCAACCAGGTGTGGTGGTGCATGCCTCCAGACTTAGGAGGCTGAGGTGGGAGGATCACTTGAGCCCAGGAGGTGGAGATTACAGTGAGCTATGATCATGCTACTGCATTCCAGCCTGGGTGGCAGAAAGAGACCCTATTTCTCTCTGTCTCTCTTTTTTTTTTGAAAAATCACCAGTCTTACGATGTTGAATGTTAGTGAGCATGAAGCTCAGTGAGATTCTTTTGGCAAACTTGGCCTGAATTAGCATAACCACTTTCGAAAACAGTCTGGCATCATCTTTTGCAAAATCTATTATCCAGCAGTTCTGCTCCTGTAGAGAAGCTCTGGCGAGTGGGTATATGGCAGGTGTCCCCAAACTATGGCCCGCGGGCCACACGTGGCTCCCTGCAGCCATTTACCCGGCCCCCTGCCGCACTTCAGGAAGGGGCACCTCTTTCATTGGTGGTCAGTGAGAGGAGCATAGTATGTGGTGGCCCTCCAATGGTCTGAGGGACAGTGAACTGGCCCCCTGTGTAAAAAGTTTGGGGATGCCTGGTATATGGTGTCTATAGCAAGAAGCAGTAAGCAGCCCACTTGTTCATCCACAGAATGGATGCGTGCATTCCAGCACGGTCATGTGGAATAGGACACAGCATGCCAAGTAATGAATTTCAGCTTCTGAACGATACAGGGACCAGTGAAAAAAAAGTCCTAGAAAACTACATATTGCACAAATTCCTACTTAAGAAGTTGAAAAAAAAATTTTTTTTTTTTTTTTGAAACAGTTTCGCTTTTGTTGCCTAGGCTGGAGTACAGTGGTGCGATCTTGGCTCATTGCAACTTCCGCCTCCAGGGTTCAGGTGATTCTTCTGCCTCAGCCTCTGGAGTAGCTGGGACTACAGGCACACACCACCACGCCCAGCTAATTTTGTATTTTTAGTAGAGACAAGGTTTCTCCATGTGTTGGTCAGGCTGGTTTCGATCTCCTGACCTCAGCTGGTCCTCCCGTCTCAGCCTGCCAAAGTGCTGGGATTACAGGTTGAGCCACCGTGCCTGGCTGAAGCACATTCTTGAGATGGCTACTTGTAGCCCCAATTTCCAGTGGTGACCTTGGTAGTTTTGAGGTTGTTCTGGGAGAACTTTCAGTAAGATTTGACTAGATGGCCGTTGTTTTCATCTCATGGTTTTGGCACTAAGATTGCTATCCCAGGCCTGTAAGTGGCTTTTCCACTGTAGAGCTGGCTTCCGTTGTTGATTTCTCTGTAGGATCTTTTCGAGCCATTTGCCAACTGTGTGAGGATTAATTTAGTTGAAACTAGATAACCTCTAAGTTGCTGTAATCTGGCACAGGTGAGCTGTGGTCTGTTGCAGCGTCTCAGCAGCAAGCGTGTGAGTGAGGCAGCCATGGCCAGCCCTTCAGGGGAGCGCCTGGTCTTCCTTCCAGTACCAGTCCTGTGGGCCAGCATCACTGTGAAATACTAGTGCACCTTAGTATCTTAGAACATAGCAAGAGAAGTTAGGGCCTTCTTTCCTGCATCCCACTGGATCCTGAGTGACCTGTAAGTGGGCTATGGCTGTGCTCTCCCCCTCCTAGCACATGGCGTTTGAAGAGGCTTGAGGATCCTAAGAGTTATTCTGACGAGGGTCCAGTGTGCATGTGGCATGGAGCAGCAGCTCCTGCCATGGGCTGGCCTGTCTTTGGCACTGATACTTAGCTAGAAAAGAAACGACGGAAGTAGCCCAGGAGGAACGCAGTTCAGTCTGATCCTCTTTCCCCAGTCTGCGTAGCAGTGTCCCTGTAGTCTTGGATTTGACTTTCAAGTTACATGAAAAAATGTTTGTCCGTGTGCCACTTAAGTTAGTCTCATGTATTGCTGGAGAACCTGGCTTAGATTGTTCTTTACCCTATTTAAGAGTAATATTTATCAGGCTGAAAGCAGCTTTTTTTTTTTTTTTTTTCCTTCGAGATAGGGTCTCACTCTGTTGCCCAGGCTGGAGTGCAGTGTTGTGATCATAGCTCCTGGGCAATCTTCCCACGTAGCTGGCACTAAAGACTCATGCCACCATGTAATTTTTACCAGGTAACTGTTTTGGTGTTCTTTAGGGTAGAGATGGGGTTTTGCCGTGTTGCCCAGGCTGGTCTGAAACTCCTGGGCTCAGGGACCCTCTTGCACAGGCCTCCTTAGATGTTGGGATTATAGGCATGAGCCACTGCGCCCCACCAGCAGTATTTTATATAGAATAATTAGAGGCTTAATTTCTGCACAACTTTTTTGAAATGGAGTCTCACTCTGTCGCCCAGGCCGGAGTGTAGTTGCCTCAATCTTGGCTCACTGCAGCCTCCACCTCCAGGGTTCTAGCGATTCTCCTGCCTCAGCCTCCCGAGTAGCTGGGATTACAGATGCCTGCCACCACACCTGGCTAATGTTTGTATTTTTAGTAGAGACGTGGTTTTACCATGTGACCAGACTGGTGTTGAGCTCATGACCTCAAGTGTTCCACCCGCCTTGGCCTCCCACAGTGCTGAAGTTACAGGCGTGAACCACCACAGCTAGTCATATTCTATACAACTTTTGTATTAAAACTGTATTTTACCTGGAGTTGAAAAAAAGAATTCTTTAATATTTGTTTGTTTTCTTTCAAATAACATAATTTTGCCTAATTTTGAGTTGTCATTTTAAAAATAAAAGTAATAAATGGATATGGGTCGGGTGTGGTAGCTCATACCTGTAATCCCAGCACTTTGGGAGGCTGAGGTGGGTGGATCACCTGAGGTCGGGAGTTTGAGACCAGCTTGACCAACATGGAGAAACCCTGTCTCTACTAAAAATACAAAACATGAGCCAAGCATGGTGGTACATGCCTGTAATGCCACCAACTCGGGAGGCTGAGGCAGGAGAATTGCTTGAACCTGGGAGGCAGAGGTTGTGGTGAGCCGAGATCGTGCAGCTGCACTCCAGCCTGGGCAGCAAGGGCAAAACTCCATCTCAAAAAAGGAATAAATTAAAAAAAAAATTTAAATTGATACAATTAGAAAAGGCAAGCAAAAGTCTAAAATGAAAAATAACCGCCCCCACCCCCCCTTTATGTAAAGGCAGTCCCATGGAGAGTTTTTTACATCTCTTTGAGAGGAATTTTGTCTAAGTAATAGCAGTTTAATGGATATTTTGCTAAGCAGGCTGCATACTGTTCCATTATTGATTTTGAAGTCTGAGTAAGGATATTGCGGGGGGTGGGAATTAATTCAGGTGAGTTTTGTGTTTGGATCTGTTTGAACAGGTAATGCACTGTGTACCAGAAATGTGTCTTCTGAGTGTACGCTTTATAGAGAAACTCAGCCATGTGCACAAGGAGACACGTGTGGAATTGTCCATTGCAGCGTGTCTGTGCAGCAGAGAAGATGGAAAGGCTGAATGTGTGTTAGTGGTGGGTATAGAAATAAATCGTGGTCTCTTCGTTCAGTGAAATACTCTAGCTGGAAGATGTGGAGGAACTGGAGCTGTGTCTAGCAACATGGACTTTTGTAAAGCGCATTGCTGAATGGTACATAACTGCATGATACAATTTATAGAGAGGAGGTTTGGAAACATGTAGCTACAGTGCCATTTATTGTTTGTGGATACACATGTGTGTGATAATAAATACGTGAATGAGAACAATTGCCTGATTCGGGATAGTGGTGTCTTTGAATGAAGGAAATGGAAAATGGGGTTGAGAGATTGAGGGAGAGTTCAGCGATCACAGCAGCGTTTACTTACGTCATAATTTGAAAGGTAAAAATGTACCACTAGTGAGGCGTTTTATGTAGAGCAGGGGTGGGCAGACTCATCTGGCCTGCTGTCTGCGTGTGTAAATAAAGTGGTATTGAACACGTTCATGCCCATTGTTCACTATAGTGTCTATGGCTGCTTTCTCTACAGTGCAGGGGCATACTTGTGACTCGACTCTATAGCCCTCAAATCAGAAAGGATTTGCTCTCCGGATCTTCCCAGAAAACATTTTCAACCCCAGATATTTCCAGCGAGGTGTTTACTAGAAGCAGTGGAACAGACGTTCCCATGTCTGAGGCACAAAGTAAGGGGCCGTCAGCCCTGAAGTATTTTAGCCTGTTGACCATGTGATGCAACTTAGAAATTTGAGAAGACATCTTTTAAGCTTCATTTTGAAAATCTGGTTTAGGCCGGGCGTGGTGGCTCATGCCTGTAATCCCAGCACTTTGGGAGGCCGAGGTGGGTGGATCACAAGGTCAGAACATTGAGACCATCCTGGCCAATGTGGTGAAACCCTGTTTCTACTAAAAATTCAAAAAAATTTATCTGAGCTTGGTGGCCCACGTAGTCCCAGCTACTTGGGAGGCTGAGGCAGGAGAATTGCTTGAACCCATGAGGAGAAGATTACAGTGAGCTGAGATTGCACCACTGCACTACAACCTTGTTGACAGCGAGAGACTCTGTCTGAGGGAAAAAAAAAAAAAAAAAAAAAAAAAATCTGACTTAGTCTTCTTATAAGCAGGTGATACTAATGAAATATGAAAAGCGTCGTGCACATGTCAACGTTAATGCTGGCTGATGGATGGTGTGAGGTTTTTAGAGTTTCAGCTTTGGACGGATCATAGCCCCCAAATGCCATCCAGCAGAGAAGAACATTTCCTTGGTGGTCACCCAGTCAGCAGGGATCTGGGGTCTCTGGCTCAGTCATTCTCTCATAGCCTGGTTTGCTCGTACCTGTTTTGTGTTTGAGGTGGGGGGCCTCTTCATGAGTTCTTTGAAAGCTCTTGTCTTAACATTGCTCCTCTTTCCACGCCGCAGGCCACCAGGGAAGCTTCTGCATGCTGTGTGTCATGCAGAATCACATCGTCCAGGCCTTCGCCAATAGCGGCAATGCCATCAAGCCCGTCTCCTTCATCCGAGACCTGAAAAGTAAGCATCGATCCATTTTTGCATTTTCAATATTTTTTAAATTTTTTGTAGAGAAGGGGTTCTTGCTCTGTTGCCCAGGCTGGTCTCAAACTCCTGGCCTCAAGCAGTTCTTTCACCTTGGCCTCCCAAAGTGTTGGGATTACAGACATGAGCCACTGTGCTGTTCTCTGTTACTGAAGGCCTGCTGAGTGCTCACCCTGTAGGAGGTGCTGGGAAGTTGGTAGAGGGGAGAGAAGAGTGAGTCGTGGATGAAGTCTTGGGAGTCCCTCTGTGCTAACAGACCTGCATGTGGTGGCACAGACTCAAGGAATAATGGTTTAGAGACGTGGTCTGGAGTCAGTGGGGAAGCCTCTCAGTGGGGGTAGATCATGACAGGTCGCTTTTCCTTTGGCCAGGTAGAGGGGTTGTTGTGTATCTGGGGCAGGCAGATGAGCCTGAGGGAGGGCTGGGAGGAAGGATGGATGAGGAGTGTACCAGTTCCTTTCTGAGTATCAGGAATCAGGTGTGTGCTGTAAACACAGTCTCATTCACATTCACTTGGCAGGAAGAAGAGGCCTGTTACTGGTTTTTGAAACCTGTGTAAATTGTAGCACTATGAAATAATTGTTCACCTGTGTTTTATATTGGCTCTTGTAGAGCTAGTTACTCGGTGGATTTTGCATTCTTTTTGTTTGAGACAGGGTTTTGCTCTTACACCAGGCTGGGGGGCAGGGACAGTGATGCAAACACAGCTCACTGCCGTCTCAAACTCCTGGAATTCTCTGGCCTTGGCCTCCTGAGTAGCTGAGATTACAAGTGCGTGCCACCACACTTGGCTGGTGTTTTTATATTTTTTGTAGAGACCGTGGCTGGCCTCCAACTCCCAACTCCAAGCAATCCTCCTGCCTTGGCCTTCCAAAGTGCTGGGATTACAGGCATGAGCGATTGCATCCAGCTGGATTTTACATTCTTTTTTCTTTTTCTTTTTCAGATAGAATCTTGCTCTGTTGCCCAGGCTGGAGAGTGTGGTGGTGAGAGTGTAGCTCACTGCAGCCTCAACCTCCCAGGCTCAAGCGATCCTCCTGCCTCAGCCACCCAAGTAGCCGAGACAGCAGGCACATGCCATTATGACAGGCTAATTTTTTATTATTTTTTGTAGAGACCAAGTCTCCCTATGTTGCCCAGGCTGGTCTTGAACTCTTGGGCTCAAGTGATCCTCCCACCCCGGCCTCCTGAAGTGTTAGAGTCACAGGCATAAGCCACCTCACCCAGCCAGCATTTACATTTTTGAGAGCTTGGTGTTCTCGTCTGTGAAGTAGTGAAGGTTCAAGCCTCACATCTTACTGAGAACGTAATGGCCATGATGAATTGTCATTGGGGTATAGACAATTCCCGTAGAGCTTGTTTTCCTCACTCGTTCCTTTGAAAAGTTGGAGTATTTTCCCCTTGTAACTCGGGAAGGCAGCTGCAACCTGTTTGATGAGAAGGCATGGGCTCTTCTCTCCCTGTTCTTCCTCCTCTAGAGATCGCCAGGCACTTCCGCTTTGGGAACCAGGAGGACGCCCATGAGTTCCTGCGGTACACCATCGACGCCATGCAGAAGGCCTGCCTGAACGGCTGTGCCAAGTACGTGCTTCCCACCCACCTTCCAGGGGGCTTTGGACACCTTTCTGCGTGGTGGCAGCAGCACTCCTGTGGCGACAGCCAGCCCGGCTCCTTTCTACCCAGGCTGCCCTCAGGTAGACGGGGCAGAATTTGCCTCTGGGTACTCAGCCTGCTGGAGCCCAAATAGGGGACTGCCCCTGCTTCCTGGGAAAAGGCTGCCTCCAGATGTATCCTAGCCCAGGGCGGCTTGGTGGGATTGGGTGGCTGTGGTGGTGGCAGTAGCTGGGTCTCAGCAGCTCAGTGGAGGGGAAATACGTTAGCAGAACATCTTAGGGTATTCCGTTACTACCATGGACTTCTCTAGTCTCTTAAAAATCACGTTGGTTTTAAAAGGATGGGGTGGTAGGAGTTACGTTTCTGCAATATAATTTACACATCTATGTGTAAGTACAAACAGGGAACTTTAGCATGAGGAAGTTTATTTATAACTTGGGGATCTTACTGTGCCTGGCCACTATTTCTTATTCACACTGGAAAGCATAGGGCATGAGGGTGTGGTGCCAAGCGATGGTTTGTCACCACATATACCCTTACATGTCATGGTCACCATCACAAATTGTCTCTCTGTCATTCCTGAGTTCATAGCTTCAGACCAAAGAAAACAGGTAGGAAGTGCTCAGAACTGCCCCTTACTGCCTCCGCTTAGGGCCCTAGAAACACTTTACCTACCTCAGGAAACACCTGAAATGTTCTTTGTTTTTTTTTTTTTTGAGACGGAGTTTCGCTCTTGTTACCCAGGCTGGAGTGCAATGGCGCGATCTCGGCTCACCGCAACCTCCGCCTCCTGGGTTCAGGCAGTTCTCCTGCCTCAGCCTCCTGAGTAGCTGGGATTACAGGCACGCGCCACCACGCCCAGCTAATTTTTTGTATTTTTAGTAGAGACGGGGTTTCGCCATGTTGACCGGGATGGTCTCGATCTCTCGACCTCGTGATCCACCCGCGTCGGCCTCCCAAAGTGCTGGGATTACAGGCTTGAGCCACCGCGCCGGCCTTAGAATGTTCTTTAGAGAAGTTGAGTTGCAGCAATGAGTGATTGAAGTGGCAAAACCACTGGCTTCAGTGGGTGATATTCTTACATAAATAAGACTTAGAGAAAGAAAACTTTTTGAGACAGAGTCTCGCTCTGTTGTCAGGCTGGAGTGCAGTAGCTGGGGTTACAGGCCCACACCACCGTGCCTGGCTAATTTTTGTATTATTAGTAGAGACAGAGTTTTGCTGTGTTGCCAGGCTGGTCTTGAACTCCTGGCCTCAAATGATCTGCTGCCTGGGCTTCTCAGTGTTGGGATTACAGGTGTGAGCCATAGTGCTCGGCTTAAGAAAACTTATTTAAATAATTTATATGAAGGTAAACTTCACTGCGTTCCTAGGATGTTTTTTTGCCTATCCTGAGAGTTTGGTCACCTCTTCCCCTTCCCCTGAAGGGGCTCGAGCCTCCCTGCTCCCTGTACCATCCTGGGTCTGCCCTTCTGCGCTGACCTTCAGTGCACTGGGTGATTGAATTGCTGTTCCCTGTGTGCTGGGCCCCATATCTACCACTGGGCATTTAGAGGTGGAAACCATAGTCCTGGGATCTGGAGCTTATGGTGTAGTTGGGGGAGGCAAATGACCCCACCAGCATTTACAGTGTGGTGCTGGAAGTACTGTCATAGCAGCAGGAGAGCACCTCACCCAGAGGTGGCTTCCTAGGAGAAGTGACCCCTGAGGGCCTGCAAAGAGGCAAGTGGGAGGGCTGCGGTGTCACGGGCACCTTCGGAGGAGTGCAGCAAGCCTGTAGCAGGGGGGGCCTGGCTCTGGGCACAGGGCGCAGCCACCTGGAGCACTGTTAGGTTGGGCACTGAACCCTGGGCTTCAGTCAGGCTGATTAACCAGAGTCTGCAGGTAGAAGAAATTCGTGAGGAGTGGGATGGGAGGTAGAATGAATAACGGTTTGGATTTGGGATGGTGGGACAGGAGGAGTGCACGTCTGTGGTCTGGGCTCGGGGGTGGGTGGTGGTGAGCCATTCGCTGGTACCAGGATTGGTGGGAAGAGGCGGGAGGCCGGGTACCGAGTGGCCAGGCATTGCCAGAGACCAAGGGGGCGATGTATGCCCCCCAGATGTCGGTCCGTGAGAGCCGTCACTGGTCCGTAGTGAAATGTAGAGTGAGGAAAATAACAATGAGACAGTGGCGAGCTTTTCATAAAGCAAATTCTTCCATTTACTTTGCAGGTGGAGGGGCCTTTTTGTCTTCTGGTTCTGTAAGTGACTTTTGGTGTTACTTGCATTACGATCTGAGCGTGCTTATAGTATTCCTACTTCATAGAACTTCCTGATGTTGCTCTGTGACTGGTAGATAGCAGCGTTTGAGAATGCTCCCTGCATACTTGACAGTGGAGTCTCAGGCTGCCGGGGTGTCGGTTTGCTCCTGTGTCTGTTGATGGGTCTGTTGACGATGCTTTTTCACTTTCTATATCCATGTGCTCTTGTCTCCTTCATCTGTTTGAGTAGTCTGTTAAGTCTGTGGTTACTGGAATCCTGGTGTGTTTATGTCTCCTTACCTCTCCTCTGGGTTTGCTTTACGCAGGTGGTTGTGGTTAGATACTCATAACTGTCATGTCTTCACTGAGAATCGTGGCTTTTAGCATTTTGAGTGTCTTCGCTTGTCACATGGAGTGCCTTTTGTTCCGAATTCTGCCAAGGCCAGTGTCAGCGTTGCAGCCCCTGCTTTGCAGGGTGTCCGCCGGTGTGGGTGACACCCCCCCCGGGGCACCAAGGAAGGAGAACTGTGCAGACCCCAGGCACAATTAGTGCCTGAAGTATAACTCACTGCTTACTTATATCTAGCTTATCTATGTAATCATACTTAGTCCCATATAATCTTTCTATATAATCGTATAATAACTTACTGCTTACTATATCTAGCTTATATATATAATCATACTTAGATCCATATACTCTTTCTGTATAATCATATAGGTATTGTAGTCGGAGCCGCACTGATGCATTTAGTGCTGATTTGTAGAATCCTTCTGTATAACCATATAGTAGTTTGTAGTAGGAGGCATGCCGAGAGCAGTCACAGAACAGAAGCAGTACATGGGAAAACAGCCAGACCAGGACGAGAACCAAAGACCCAGGTGGCGGCGGCCCTGCCTGAAAGGGCATACGCTGTATGGCAGGCTTGGAGCAGGAGCCGCTCCTCCTGAGAAAGGAGCTGTAGTACCTCGCATCCAGTTCCTGTGGAAAGCAGGCCTCAGGCCTGAGATCCTGGAAGTAACTGAGGGAGAAGAACCCCTCTGGTGTGACCAGTCACCGCGGCTGTACACCCTGTCAGTCTTTTCTTGCTTCTGTGCTAGTTCAAATCATCCTCCCATAAAAATCTTGAGAAGCGCACAAGTCTTCAGCTCCCACTGCATTGGCTTACAGTATCCTTCTATTAGAAACCTTTTGAAGTCTCCAGCCCCCAGCTAAGAAGTATTGCGCACGACACCTGTTGTACACAGCCCACCTCCTTTCCTTGGTGACCTAACGGGAGTAGACCCCTTTTCTGTACATGACCCTCTACTACTGCACATGGCCCACCTCTCTGCCCAGGTGACATAATGGGGTGGCCCCCTCACTTGTGACTCACGTGATTATGTATACCCTATCACTAAGCCTATAGATGATGACCTCACTTAACAACTCTTACCCTTGCTTTTACCATACATACAGACGCTTCTGGGCATTTGGGGCCTCACCTGTCTCTGCTCATATGTGGCATGGCCCCCCGAGTCCAGCTGCTCTTCTCCAGTTCTTCAGTGTCCTGTCTCTTCTCAGATTCTGCACTTCAGCACAGCATAAGGGACACTCCACGACTCTGTGGGGCCAGCAGCCCTACACACTGTCCCCTTGCCATCATTTTCTGAACCCTTCCATAGAGGCGTTCCTAAGGTTTGGTCTTGCATTGTAAGCCAAAGTGATCCTCTTAACAGGCAGGTTAAACCCCTTCACGTTTCTTGTTATAACTGAAAAGTCTGAGCTGAATTCTGTCATATTTATGTATTTTATAGTAATTATAGGTAGCATATTTGCTATGCTTATTTTTCTTTATTTTTCAAACTACTTTTGATACTAGATTTGTATTTTTGTTTTAGTGGCTACCTTCGTACATAAACCATTCTTTTTTTTTTTTTTTTTTTGAGACGGAGTTTCGCTCTTGTTACCCAGGCTGGAGTGCAATGGCGCGATCTCGGCTCACCGCAACCTCCGCCTCCCGGGTTCAGGCAATTCTCCTGCCTCAGCCTCCTGAGTAGCTGGGATTACAGGCACGCGCCACCATGCCCAGCTAATTTTAACATAAACCATTCTTTTTGAGACAGGGCCTTGCTCTGTCTCCCAGGCCGGAGTGCAGTGGTGGGATCCTAGCTCACTGCAGGCTCCACCTCCCATGCTCAAGCCATCCTCCAACCCAGCAACTGGAACTGCAGGCCCGGCCCCGCCCACTGGTTTCATGCGCCCTTTTGAAATGGCCCTTCTGAAATGCACCTGGTGCTGTTTTCTCGGCCCTCCCTGTGGGCCCTCCCTGTGCCGTCTGCTGCTTTTCCTCCCTCTCTCGCATTTTAGTTTGCGTGATTTCTTTTTTGTTGTTGTTGGCACATAGAAGGTGGTTTCTTTTTCTTGCCCAGCCTTGGATTGTTGGCACATAGAAGGTGGTTTCTTTTTCTTGCCCAGCCTTGGGTTATGGTTACATCTTGCCATCACTTGTTGCTCACCCTCCATTTGGCCCCTCTGGCACACTCGTAGCTGGGGAAGCCTGGCCTCTCTTAAGTTCCTCCAGGAAGGCAGCTGTGTCCGGCACTCTGCTTCCAGAAATGAGGCCGCTGTCACTGTGTCCAGGACGTTCGGCTTGGAGTTTTGGTTGCTGTGTCTTTGGCGTCGTGCCTGTTTTCTGGGGCTGGTTTGAATCGTGTGAGGCGTTTTGATTCTTGTTCGTGACCGCTTTGTGCTTGAAGCACTTTGTGTAGACTAGGCCTGCTTTCATTTATCCTGTGGGTCTGGTGGTTTTCAGGATTCGTAATCCAGAGCGCTGCCTCTGTCCGCACCGTCTAGTACACTCTGATGGTTGGCGTTTCCTCTGGTGGCAGGAGGATCGATAGCCTCAGATGGTTTTGAGTTTTTTCAGGACCCTGATGTCTCTTTGCCTATCTTGCCCTTCACTGCCTTCTAAGGACGCCTGCCTGCCTTTTTACCTTACCCCCAAGAATCCGTGCCTGTGGAGACTGCCACTCCAGTGTGCCCGTGGGACCCCATAGTCGTGCCCCACTCCGGGGTGCCCCTTGCAGCCTTGATTCTGAGTGGCTCTCAGGCACCTCCTGCCCCCTCCTCCCTTCTTGCCCAGTTGTTCCCCACTGCCCTTTCTCCCCAGGCTCGGTGGGATGCCCGGGAAAGCTTGCTGGGTAAGGTGATGGTTGTGCTTCCGCCACTTTGGTTGTACGTGAGGGGATTCTGCATGGCCCTGTGGGCTCTGGTGCTTTCAGGCTCTGGATGCTGGGGGTCAGGGGGTTGTTGGCCGGTCTAGATTTTGGCAGCTACCGTCACACACAGCTACCCACATTTCTCAGGCCATGCAGAGATTACATCCTTGCTAGTTTTTGCAGTTAAAGGTCCCTTTTAAAGAATGGTGGGAGCTTATTTTTCATTGTCTAGCTTTGCAGAATAAAAATTGGGTGACCCTGTATTGGTCCCCCAAATATTTCAGAGCTCCTAGAGTCTAGGAAGTACCATGGTAAATGTCACACAGGTCAGATGAGAGGCTGAGTTGTGCGCGTTCTGTGGCCGGGGCGGGAGAGGGGCACGGTGCAGCCCGTGGGTGTGGAATGGTCTGGGTGACCATGGGAAGTGTGGAGAGCGCCCTGGAAACAGCCCTGGTTTGCGCCCGTGAGAAGTTGGGGAAGCAGCTGGGGAGACAGAGACAGAGAACCTGGGGAGAGGGGATGCTCATCTGGAGGGAGTGGGCGCGCCTACAGGCCGCACAGCCTCCTATTAAAGAGCCCGCAGAGCCAGCTGGCCTTGCGCCTGGAGGCCTCGGGCGGCTCTGAGGAAGGCAGTTCCAGAGGAGTGAGTCAGGACCAGACGCAGTAGGCTGCAGGTGAGAACCAGGAGCAGAGACTGGATGTGGCATCTTGTTTCAGAGTCTTCCCAGCATGAGTAGCTATCAATGGATACATAGATGTGGGAGGCACCAGGCAGCTCTGGCGCAGGGTGAGAAGAGGCCCCAGGGCTTTGATCGCCTTGGATCCCAGTGAGTGAGTGCCGTGGGGGGCATGAGTGCAGGGCTCCTGACCCTGAAGCCCACACCTGACTCCGCTGTCCTCCCTGGAAAGGGTGCAGAGCTGTGGAGTTTTGGTCCTGTTTGTGCCTTTGTTCCCATCCCTGTCCCTCTTCCGTGACTGGGGACCAGCTGTCTGTTGACCAGCAGAGAAGTGGAGGGGAGGGCCGGGTGGGTGCCCTTGTTCAGGGGAGTGTTTGGCCTCCAGCCTCACTCCCGATTTAGGTACTTACTTTTTGGTGAGACTGAAAAGAAGAGGCAGCAGAGTGAGGACGCACGCACATTTCTCGGGGCTTTCATTTTTGGTGAAGTTTTGAAATGGCTTATGTGGAGAGTGGGGCCCTCAGGAGATGAGTGCTCTGCAGAGACTGCCAGGCAGCAAGGGCCCAGGATGGAGCTTAGGGACCTACGGTGACTTGGGTCAGGGGTGGGGTTTCCCAGCCCCAGGCTGTGCTGGTGATTGATGGGCATGGGGGTGCTGGGATGGGGCTGTCCCTCGTGTCATCTTGCCAAGTCCTTCCCTTAAAGGCTGTGGCCTGCTTTTCAGGTTGGATCGTCAAACGCAGGCTACTACCTTGGTCCATCAGATTTTTGGAGGGTATCTCAGATCACGTGGTAAGTGGAGACATTTGCTCTACTGCTACTGCTTCTTGCCAGGATTAGAACATGAACCCAGGAAACCCTAAGAGTGGGAGCACAGGCTGGGGCTCTTTCCTCGCTGCGCAGACCTGGGTCAGTCTCTGAGGTCTCGAGCCATGGTTTCCTCTGAGACTCCTGGCCCACCTGGCCACTGGGCTGGTTGTTAGAATATTCCCATGAGGGCAGAGCACAGTGGCTCACACGTGTAATTACAGCACTTTGGGAAGCTGAGGTGGGTGGATCACCTGAGGTCAGGAGTTTGAGACCAGCCTGGCCAACCATGGCCAACATGGTAGAACCCCCATCTCTATTAAAAATACAAAAAATTAGCTGGACGCAGTGGTGCATGCCTGCAATCCCAGCTACTCAGGAGGCTTAGTCAGGAGAATTGCTTGAACCGAGGAGGTGGAGATTGCAGTGAGCCAAGATCGCACCACTGCGCTTCAGCCTGGACGACAGAGCTAGACTGTCTCAAAAAAAAAAAAAAAAAAAAAAAAAAATTCCCATGAAGAAGTTTGGAGAGATCTCTTTCCTCCGCTCTCCGTCAGCAGGAGAGTACCGTGTGTGGCAGTCACCAATCGAGGCAGGGAGGGCCCTGTGAGCACAAAGGCATTGACGTCCATCTTTGTGAAGTTCAGTGGTGAAGAGGAGCTCTCTGTCCGGACACCAGGATGCTCCGGGGGCTAGTGGGAATCTCATCTTTGGCCAAAGCCCTGTGGAGAGTTTGCCTCTCTCCTGGGTCTGGGTCTTGGGAGCCGGGGGTGCCTCTACCGGGCCACACCTGCTCCACTGCCTCTCTGTTCTATTGCAGTGAAGTGCTCCATGTGCAAGAGCGTCTCGGACACCTATGACCCCTACTTGGACATCGCCCTGGAGATCCGGGTACAGACCTGTCCTGCCCTTCATATTTGCGGTAGGAGAGCGAGGCCAGCAGAACAGTAAAGGCATCAGATCGGAAGAGACGGGGAGAAAGCTCCCCTGCCTCCTGCCGCCTTGCAGGACAGACCGTTGTCTTTCTCTGTTTCTTTCTAGAGTGTTTCCTATGCATATCCTTTTATTTAAAGAAAAAAATGGTAAAATTGAGTTTTGCATTCGGAGGCATGAGCAGGAACAGTGCTGTCCCCAGGGCTTGAAGAGAGTCCCTTGTGTGCTGTGGGCGGCGTGCAGGTTTCGGACCTCTCTTGGGCGTCACCTGGGAGAGCATCCCAGGCTTTCATGCACGCCCTGCCCCAGCTGCGGTCTGCGGGAGGCTGGCTGCCTTCACTGGGCCAATCCAAGCTCCAGAGCAGGTCCAGCCACAAGACCATCTTGATAAAAGTGACTGATTGATGGCGGACCTCCTGCAGCTGTCATTTCATTTCTTTTTTTCTTTTTGATGGGGGCTTGAGAGACAGGGTCTTGCTCTGTGACCCAGACAGGAGTGCAGTGAGACAATCACAGCTCACTGTAGTCTTGACCTCTAGGCTTAAGTGATCCTCCGATCTCAGCCTCCCACACAGCTGGTACTACAGGCACACACCACCACGCCTGGCTAATTTTTAAAATTTTTCATAGAGATGGGGGTCTTGTTACGTTGCCCAGGCTGGTCTCAAAACTCCTGGCCTCAAGTGGTCCTCCTGCCCCAGCCTCCCAAGGTACTGGGATTATGGGCGTGAGCCACTGTACCCAGCTGCTGTCATTTCTTGTTACTGGAGAAGGAGTTCCAGTCTGGCAGCTAGTGGGCAAATTTTTATGTGAGTCAAGTTTTATGATTTGCTGCCTCAGCCTAAAAAAGACCTTAAATTCGGCATTTATTGCATCAGCCCTTTTCTTCTGCTGTGTATTTTACTCGCTGTTTTTGTCCTTCTCAGCAAGCTGCGAATATCGTGCGTGCTCTGGAGCTGTTTGTGAAAGCAGATGTCCTGAGTGGAGAGAATGCCTACATGTGTGCTAAGTAAGTTTCACGTTGCTTGTGGCAGAAGACTGACACAGGCAGGATAAGTCACCCCACCTGACAGCGTTGTGCCCGCCCTGTCTCTTCCTTAGTGGTGACCCCGGCTCGTATTTCTTGAGGAACCTGCGTGTGTTCTAAAAACACAAACATCTAAATAACTCAAATGAAGTGATAGCCATGATTTTTATAGCTGCGGTTTATGCCATGCCTGTCCCTGTTCTAAAGATTCTACGTGTATTGTGAAGTAGGGACTGTGGTTTCTCCGTTGGCAAGGATGGTGAAAGTGAGGCACAGAAGTGAAGTGACTAGCCCTGGGGCCACACTACAAAGATGAGCTCACACCAGTTCACGCTGGCTCACACCAGGTGGCTGCCCCAGGGGCTGTGTCCACCCAGCTGCTATCTTGCCTCTTAAGTAGTGTTTTCTGTGGCTTTCATGTTTTACTTAACTGGATTAGACATTTTTCCATTTCTGCTGATAAAACTCTTACTTTGCCCTTCTTTGTATTTTCGGTAGTGACTGGGTTTCACCATGTTGGTCAGGCTGGTCTCAAACTCCTGATCTCAGGTGATCCGCCTGCCTTGGCTCCCAGAGTGCTGGGAACACACCACTACAGCCAGCCGAATGTCTTCATATCTAGGTCATTTAAAGCTGCAGGCGCGGGCCGGGCGCGGTGGCTCAAGCCTGTAATCCCAGCACTTTGGGAGGCCGAGGCGGGTGGATCACGAGGTCGAGAGATGGAGACCAACCTGGTCAACATGGTGAAACCCCGTCTCTACTAAAAGTACAAAAAATTAGCTGGGCGTGGTGGCGCGTGCCTGTAATCCCAGCTACTCAGGAGGCTGAGGCAGGAGAATTGCCTGAACCCAGGAGGCGGAGGTTGCGGTGAGCCGAGATCGCGCCATTGCACTCCAGCCTGGGCAACAAGAGCGAAACTCCGTCTCAAAAAAAAAAGTGCGGGCGCTAAAGAATGTATTCTTGATTCTGTTCTCCTCCTCTTCAAGGCCGTTTCCCACAGCTCTTGAAGCTGCGCGCCGCTGCCTGTGTTTTCTCCCTGCGTTGTCGTGTTTTCTGTCTTCGCGTACTGCCTTTGCTCACTTTCTGTCTGCCTTTGCTTACTTTGACTTCCTGCTTGCCGGTTTTATCACTCAGCCACATCTGCTCTAATTTACTCTTTCCTGTGTTACCCCAAAGCAACTTTTGCCTGAATCTTACTTAGTCTCCTGGTGGGTACAGTACTTTTATCTTTTTGCTTTAGAATCTCCCCATCTTCTGTAGTCTTGTTCCCCTCGGTAGCCTTCCTTTACTTGAGGCGTGCTAAAGGTGATTTTTAGGGGAGCAAAAGATCTCAGTCTCATTTGTGAAGATTCCACTATTATATAGCAGTTGTTGCTGTTATTAAGTTAGCATGAAGACAACATTTTTCAGAGCATGAATCCATCATTAATTAGTTAATCTTTCTCATTCACCTTCTTCATAGATGCAAGAAGAAGGTTCCAGCCAGCAAGCGCTTCACCATCCATAGAACATCCAACGTCTTAACCCTTTCCCTCAAGCGCTTTGCCAACTTCAGTGGGGGGAAGATCACCAAGGTGAGTGCCCAGGACACCATCCCAGGCATTTTCGTGGGCCACAGTCGGCATCAGAATGTGCCGACTATCACTATCACAAAGAAAGTGATAGCCACAAGTGTGATAGCTGCCATTTCCACAGTACCTGTCCCATTTCTAAGGTTCTGCGGATATTGTGAAGTAGGGACTGTAGTTTCCCCGTTGCCCAGGATGGACAAACAGACACAGAGAGGTGGAGCGACCTGGGATGCTTTTTAAAAACAGACAGTCCCGCCGGGCGCGGTGGCTCACGCCTGTAATCCCAGCACTTTGGGAGGCCGAGGCAGGTGGATCATGAGGTCAAGAGATCGAGACCATCCTGGTCAACATGGTGAAACCCCGTCTCTACTAAAAATACAAAAAAAATTAGCTGGGCATGGTGGCGCGTGCCTGTAATCCCAGCTACTCAGGAGGCTGAGGCAGGAGAATTGCCTGAACCCAGGAGGCGGAGGTTGGGGTGAGCCGAGATCGCGCCATTGCACTCCAGCCTGGGTAACAAGAGCAAAACTCTGTCTCAAAAAATAATAATAATAATAGTCAGTTCCGGCTCTATCCCACTGCTAGTGGAATTGGAATCTCTGGAGGACAGGGCCCAGGAATCTACATTTTTGCAAACTCCCTGAATGCTTGTTACACACAGTCAGGTTCCAGGACCACTGTCTTGCTGGATTTACCCCAGCTTCTGGTTGTGCTTGGGTTGGTCCTGGCAGGGATGCTTGGGATTATCCAGATGAGTGTGACAAGCCCTGGGCGGTGCGGCTCTCCTATTCCACGTCCTGTGGATGTCTGGAACACATGCCGTTGCATGCTCTGGCTTTCTATAGAATGTGGAGTTAAAAAAAACCCTACTTTTGACACTATGGCATTTATCTTTATTTTTTTTAACTTAAACTTATTATTATTATTATTTTTTTTTTTTAAATTTTTTGAGACAATTTTGCTGTCACCCAGGCTGGAGTGCAGTGGCATGATATCAGTTCACTGCAGCCTTAGTCTCCTGGGTTCAAGCGATTCTCCTACCTCAGCCTCCCAAGTAGCTGGGAGTACAGGCGCATGCCACCACACCTGGCTAATTTTTGTATTTTTAGTAGAGACAGGGTTTCACCATGTTGGCCAGTCTGGTCTTGAACTCCTAACCTCAGGTGATCTACTGGCCTTGGTCTCCCAAAGTGCTGGGATTACAGGCATGAGCCACTGCGCCCAGGCAAATTTAATTTAATTTTTGTACAGGGTCTTACTCTGTCATCTGGGCTCGAGTGCAGTGGTGTAATCACAGCTCACTGCAGCCTCAGCCTCCCAGGCTCAAGCAATGCTCCTGCCTTAGCCCCCTGAGTAGCTGGGACTATGCCACCAGGCTGGTTAATGTAAAAAAAAACTTTTTTTTTTTTTTTTTTTTTTAAAAAGAGATGGAGTCTTGCTGTGTTGCCCCAGCTGGTCTCAAACTCCAGGACTCAAGTGACCTGGCCACATCGGCCTCCCCAAATGCAGGGATTATAGGTGTGATCCACCACATCCAGCCTACACTACAGTGGCATTTTAATAGATGTATTTCTTTTTTTTTTTTTTGAGACAGAGTCTTGCTCTGTCACCCAGGCTGGAGTGTAGTGGCACTATCTCTGCTCACTGCAACCTCCCCTTTCTGGGTTCAAGTGATTCTCCTTCCTCAGTCTCCAGAGTAGCTCAGATAAAGGCGCCCACCACAATGCCTGGCTAATTTTTTGTATTTTTAGTAGAAACAGGGTTTTGCCATATTTGCCAGGCTGGTCTTGAACTCCTGAGCTTAGGTGGGTGATCCACCTGCTTCAGCCTTCCAAAGAGCTGGGATTACAGGCCTGAGCCACCGCACCCAGCAGATAATCTGTATTTCATCTAGAGTAGTGTTCTGAGAACCTGGTTGTGTGGTTTGGAACGACACTCTTGGCTGAGCCTCATTTTCCTCACTGGTGGTGGTAGGGGTCCTGCTTAGATCAGCATTTCCCAAATGTGTTTGCAGATCGTTTGTATTGTAGAGTCACATGTCGTGTAACCATAAGGGCACGTCTTAAGAAACGTGTCAGCAGTCAAGTCCGTCACTGTGAAAATCACAGGGTGTACTTACACAGACGTAGATGTTAGAGCCTGCTGTGCTCCTCTGCTGTATGGGATAGCCCATTGCTCCTAGGTCACAAACCTGCACAGCCTGTTACTGTCCTGAATACTGTAGGCAGTGTGACACAGTGGGAAGTATTCGTGTGTGTAAACACAGAGAGGGAACAGTGAAATGTATTATAATCTTACGGGATCACTGTTGTAGATGTGGTCTGTTGTTGACTGAAACGTGGTTATGTGGCATGTTGGTATGTGATGGTATGTGAAGTTCAAGAACAGGCAGAATCAATGGTGACAGAAATCAGAACAGTGGATATTTGAGATGGGGCAGGGACTGGGACACGGGCATTTTCTAGTTGATGTTCTGCATGTCTGTCAGTACATACTTGTCAAAACTCTTTGATCTGTATACCAGAAATCTGTACCTTTCCACAAAGCCCACAATTCAGTTGAGAAGAAATGATTTAGGCTGGGCGGATGCAGCGGCTCAGACCTCTAGTCTCAGCAGTTAGGGAGGGTGAGGTGGGAGGATTGCTTGAGACTGGGAGTTTCAGACCAGCCTGGGCAGCACAGTGAGACCCTGTCTCTACAAAAAAATTTTGTGTGGGTTTTTTTTTTTGTTGTTGTTAAATGAGACGGAGTCTCGCTTTGTCATCCAGGCTGGAGTGCAGTGGCACCATCTTGACTCACTGTAACATCTACCTCCCAAGTTCAAGCGATTCTCCTGTTTCAGCCTCGAAAGCAGTTAGGGCCACAAGCGTGTGCCACCATGCCCAGCTACGTATAGAGATGGAGTTTCACTGTGTTGGCCAGGCTAGTCTTGAATTCGTAACCTCAAGTGATCCACACACCTCAGCCTCCCAAAGTGCTGGGATTATAGGTGTGAGCCATCATGCCCAGCCTAAAAAATTATTTTAAATTAGCTAGTCATAGTGGCATGCGCCTATAGTCCCAGCTGCTTGGGAGTTAGAGATAGGAGGATTGCATGAGTTCAGGAGTTTGAAGTTACAGTGAGCTATGATTGTGCTACTGCACTGTAGCCTGGGCAACAGAGTGAGACTCTGTTTTTTTTTAAAAAAAAAAAAGTTATGTATATGTTTTTTGGAATTCCTAAACACACGTCTGTATATGACCCAGAATAATGGCAGTCCTGTCACGTGTGAGCTCTGTGCTGTCCTGGTGCGCTCAGCCTACAGCTGCCATGCCGGCCGCTATTACTGCTAAGAATGTATGTGTGTGCATGTATGTATATGTGCATGTATACATTTTTCTCTATGAAAAATTGTCAATTTTTGGAACACGTTTTGGCATGACCTTTCTTCTGATCCCGTTCATTAAAAGTCTGTCTTGCTGTATCAATTCAGCACTTCTATTTCTGAAGATCTAAAACCCAGCATTCTGTCCCTTTTCTCCCACCAACAATGTTCCTATGGAGTGGAGGGAAAGAACATGAGTTACTCTTCCCATTTTATCGTTGGGAACCCGGTGGTGAGAGAACTAACGTAGATACTTGACAAAGACAAGAAAAGATCCTAAATGGCTTAATGGGACAGTCAAGTTTCCCGTAGGCTCCATAGGCTGGAGAAGACTCACTTCTTGGCATCTCGGGTTTCATCATTGCTTGGGGGAGCTCCTGCAATGTTGCCGCACACCCAGTTGCTCCACCTCATTGTTTTTGGTGGCGGGGTGAGGGGGGCAGTTTTAAGACAGAGTCTCACTTCATTGCCTAGGCTGAGTGCAGTGGCTCAATCTCGGCTCACTGCAACCTCCGCCTCCCGGATTCAAGTGATTCTTGGTCCTCAGCCTCCCGAGTAGCTGGGGTTACAGGCAGTGCATCACCATGCCCAGCTAATTGTTTGTATTTTTAGTAGAAGTGGAGTTTTGCCATATTGGTCAGACTGGTCTTGAACTCCTGGGCTCATGATCCGCCTGCCTCTGCTTCCCAAAGCGCTGGGATTACAGGCATGAGCCACCGCACCTGGCCCCCAGATTGTTGAAGTCCAGCCGTGTCGGGCATTTTGTATGGTTGTAGGTGGAAAGGGCAAATTGGTCTTTAGTCTCAAAGTGAATTTTATTTGCCTTTTCCTTGTTTTTTCAAACAGGATGTCGGCTATCCAGAATTCCTCAACATACGTCCATATATGTCCCAGAATAACGGTGATCCTGTCATGTATGGACTCTATGCTGTCCTGGTGCACTCGGGCTACAGCTGCCACGCCGGGCACTATTACTGCTACGTGAAGGTGAGAGGCCTGTGTTGGTGCGGCGGCCTCCTGGGCTGGGTTTCAACACCCGCGCACATCCAGATGTGGTCTCTGCAGAACACTGATTTGTGAAAAGCAGTGCTGTTTTGTAGTTGGATTCGAGTCCTAATTGTTGCCTCTGTGCATGGAGTGAAGATGCCTTGACAAAACTGTTGCATGAGAACCTGCAGCATTCTTAGACTTGCAGTGAGGCACGGAAGAGGGGCTGCTTCTGGTGCCCATCCTTAGAACCCTGGCGAAGTCTTGGTGAAAGCCGAATATAGGAGGGAGATGGCCATGGTGATTAGACTGCCTAAATGTCCTTCGGAAGGGACTGTTCCTGTCTGTTAGGACACTAGGAAGGAACTGGGACTCAAAGCACATTTTGGGGTCACTTTCAGAGTCATGAAAATATTATACATTCGGCTGGGCGAGGTGGCTCACTCCTGTAATCCCAGCACTTTGGGAGGCTGAGGTGGGTGGATCACCTGAGGTCAGGAGTTCAAGATCAGCCTGACCAATATGGTGAAACTCCATCTTTTTAAAAAAAGAAAAACTGTATAATTTTAATGTGTAATTAAAATGTGTAATTTTAATAGGAAATTGTTCCTGGCTGACTATTAATAGCATCTGGATATGTAGCAACTAATAGATCTTCAGTTCCCTTTCTAAAAGTAAGGATAATGGGATGCTTGTTGGTTGTTTTGTTTTCTGCAACATCCTTGGCTGCATCAGGCAAGCAACGGACAGTGGTACCAGATGAACGATTCCTTGGTGCATTCCAGCAACGTCAAGGTGGTTCTGAACCAGCAGGCCTACGTGCTGTTCTATCTGCGGTAATAAACTCACACTCCCGCCTCGCCCCCTGAGATGAGCTCACTCCCTCTGTTTTTTTCTTACACCGATGGGCCTCCCTAACCTTTTTTTGTTTGAAGGTAATTGGGAATTCCACTGGAGGGGTTCGTCATGTGTCATGGAGACCGTCCATGGGGAAGGACCCTTTTTAGTAAAAACCAGAGCCTTCAGGAAGGTCAGGACAGGATTCGATCTGCCCTCACATTGATGCTATTTTGAATGTAAATGGGAAAGTCACCATTTATAGTATTGCCCCAGATTAGAGGCACTGCTCCCTGGATGGTGGCCAGCCAGTGCCCCTTCCTCTGAGGGGAAGCCGCTCCGTAGGGATAGGCAGGGAAGGACATGTTTGTGGGGCTGCTGCAGAGCTCCTCTGGAGGGACCTTCTCCCGGAGCTGGTTATTATCACTGACCTGGAGGTTGGAGACCGTGGCAGCTGAGGCATTTTCACCGCTTTATACATCTCTGCTGAGTGTGGCTGAGGTGTCTGACATGTCTCGCTTGCTTTCTGGTGCATTGAGCGTTAATCTTGGAGGAATTCTGACTCCAGTTTGCCCTTGCTCTGCTTATATTCAGCAGATATGTAGGGCTGATCTCATAGCCTCCTGGTGGTTGAAAGGCAAAGGGAGATTCAAGAAACAGAACAGGCGGGGTTTCCTCAGGCTGTTTCTGCCTTTGCCCTGCCTTTTAAAATAATATTATGACCTTGAACTTAACTGGCTCTAATTCTCTCCATTTCTGTCATGCCTTCTTAGCTTTAGTAAGAAAATTCCCAACTTGTTTTCTTCCTTTGACAGAATTCCAGGCTCTAAGAAAAGTCCCGAGGGCCCCATCTCCAAGACAGGCTCCTCCTCCCTTCCCAGCCGCCCGAGTGTGGCTCCAGATCACTCCAAGAAGAACATGGGCCATGGGCTTGTTTGCTCCCCGCTGACTGGAAAGGTATTTATGAAAATGATGACGGCCACGGTGGCTGGTCATGGTGCCCCCCACAGACGTCCTCATGCTCGGGACGTTGGCCACAGCAGGAGGAGTTTGCAGACAGTTTGTACTATATTAGTTGATGTTATTTCTTAACTTGGTCATCAGCTGACATTGGGTTTAGAGAAAGAGGAGACGTGAATGAGAAAATCCTGACCCGGCAAATTACGACTGTCATTCACAGATCTGTTCTACTCATGAGAACAGATTTGCAAGTGCCGTGACAGATGTGTCAAGCAAACTTTATTTTGGGAGACAAAGTCTCACTCTGTTATCCAGGCTGGAGTGCAGTGGCACAGTCATGGTTCAGGGCAGCCTTGAACTCCTGGGTTCAAGCCATCCTCCTACCTCAGCCTCCCTAGTAGGTGGGGCTATCAGTGCACCACCACACCCAGCTAATTTTTTTTTTTTTCTTTTGAGACGGAGTTTCGCTCTTGTTACCCAGGCTGGAGTGCAATGGCGCGATCTCGGCTCACCGCAACCTCTGCTTCCTGGGTTCAGGCAATTCTCCTGCCTCAGCCTCCTGAGTAGCTAGGATTACAGGCACACGCCACCATGCCCAGCTGATTTTTTGTATTTTTAGCAGAGACGGGGTTTCACCATGTCGACCAGGATGGTCTCGAACTCTCGACCTCGTGATCCACCCACCTCGGCCTCCCAAAGTGCTGGGATTACAGGCTTGAGCCACCGCGCCCGGCTTCCCAGCTAATTCTTAAACTTTATGTAGAGACAGGGTCTCACTGTGTTGCCCTGGCTCGTCTCAAACTCCTAAGCCTAAGTGCTTCTCCCGCCTTGGCCTCCCAAAGTGCTAGGATTATAGGTACCAAGCAAACCCTTCGCCTTAACCATAGGGGGAAAAATACCCTCAAATTTTAACAGAGAAAATGTGAGTGATTTGTACTAATCAATGTTAATGTCCTAATTTGGGTAATTCTGCTGTGGTTATGTAAGAGAATGTCTTTGTTCTTTGGAAATACACATGGACATATTTAGGGATAAAAACATGTTTGCAATTTATTCAGATGGTTCAGAAATAGAAATGTATGTATGTGCATACATACAGAGTCATGCATATATACACACACATACATATAGAGAGAGAATGATAAAGGTTATGTGGTTACATGTTAACCATTAGGAACAACCCTCAAAGTTATCTTTGTGTGTGTTTGAAATTTTCTGCTAGAACAGTTAAGAATTCAGTTTTCACTAGTGGATTAATGAGCAGTCTCCTCATTAGAACACAGTGATCATTTGAAGTGGGGTATACCGTCTCTCAATGTCTGTTTATTGAATTTTTTTGAGACAGAGTCTTGCTCTGTCTGTCGCCCAGGCTGGAGTGCAGTGGCGCCATCTCAGTTCACTGAAGCCTCTGCCACTCTGTAGCCTCCACCTCCCGGGTTCAAGTGATTCTCATGCCTCAGCCTCCCAAGTAGCTGGGATTACAGGTGTGAGCCGCTGTTCCCAGCCTGGATGACTCTTTTTGATGGATCATCATCTTCTCCCTTTAAAATGAAGAGTTGAACCCACACACAGGCAGTCAGGCTCTTTCACAGTCTGCAGAAGTCTTGGTTATTTACGTAAATCTGTATTTCCCGTCACATTAAAGAAAACAGAAGCTGAAATTAGAAGCATTAGAATTGAAGTGGCTGTGAAATACATGATCTAATCGCAAAGTTGGTGGTCACTGCAGCCCAGACTAGGAAGTTAGGAAGCAGCTTGGGACAGCTGCTGTGACTCATGTCTTTGATTCCAGCACTTTGGGAGGCCTATGTGGGAAGATCATTTGATCCCAGAAGTTTGAGACCAACCTGGGAAACATGGCAAAACCCTGTCTATACTAAAAATAGAAAAGTTAGCCAGGTGTGGTGGCCTGTGCTTACAGTCCCAGCTACTCAGGAGGCTGAGGTGGGAGGATCACTTGAGCCGGAGATGAAGGCTGCAGCGAGTCACACCACTCCACACCAGCCTAGGCGACAGAAAGAGACCCTGTCTCAAAACAAATTTAAAAAGCAGCCTGGACAACACAGATCCCCATCTCCACAGAGATTATTCAGTAAGCTGATGTGGGAGGATCACTTGAGCCTGGGAGTTTGAGGCTCTAGGCAGTGAGCCATGATCACGCTGGTGAACTCCAGGCAAGGTGACAGAGTGAGACCTTGTCTCAAAAAAAAAGGAAAGGGGGGCCAGGCGCTGTGGCTCACAACCTGGAATCCCAGCGCTTTGGGAGGCCAAGGCGGGTGGGTCATTTGAGGTCAGGAGTTCAAGACCAGCTTGGCCAACATGGTGAGACCCTTTCTCTACTAAAAATGCAAAAATTAGCTAGGCATGGTGGCACATGCCTGTAATCCCAGCTACTCAAGAGGCTGAGGTAGGAGAATCACTTGAACCCGAGAGGTGGAGGTTGACATCATGCCGACGTCATGCCACTGACATCATGCCACTGTACTCTACCCTGGGTGACAGAGCGGGGCTCCATCTCAAAAAAGGGAAAAAAAAGGAAGCAGTCTGGGCAACATAGAAAGACTCTCATCTCCAAGAAAAGTGCAAAAATTAGCCAGGTGTGTTGGTGCATATCTGTAGTCCCAGCTGCTTGGGAAGTTGAGGCAGGAGGATCACTTAAGCACAGGAGTTCAAGGCTGCAATGAGCCATCATTGTGCCACTTCACTTAAAGCCTGGACAACAGAAAGACAGCCTGTCTCAAAAAAAAAAAACAAGAAAATACAAAGGAAACCTCATTTGTCACAGGAACTCCACAGGCAGAATGATGCCCGAGGTGGAAGGTCTGCTTCAGAGAGTCCCTGTGTCAGTCACATCTGCAATGCTACTCCCTGACCATTAGCATTTTCATGATAAATGTCATGTTCCAAATACACTGCAATTGAACAAGAGTCGTTTTACTCTAAGTGGCATGGTGCAAGGCCTGGTGTGTATGGAAATGTTCAGCCAGTGAAAAGGCTTTGCAGTGCCATGGAAAGATGAATTCCTTTTAGAAGACATTAACAAAGAATATGATGAGCAAGACAAAACTTAGAAGAAAACAGAAGTATGTTCTTCTTAAACCTTTGGGAGAGGGAGGAGACTTCATATGCTTAGAACTGAGGGAGAAAATAAAGAAAAACTATAAATTGATTAAAATTTACCGTTTTGTACATAAATTATTACAAATACAAACGAAACAGTAACACCATTTAAATATTGAACAAAAGGCTAGCATTTGTAAACACAGGAACTCATTTAAATGACGATCACGCTAGTGCATGTGCAGAGAATACGAATGTTAAAGTGGTCATAGCCAAAACGAGTGTCAGATTAGCAAATGTTTGGAAAAATATATGTTGCTGGAGTATATATAGTGAATGCAGTTTGGCAATACGCACCAGGTACCATGAAAATATTCATGGCCTCGTAATTCCATTTCTACAAAATTAGCATGGCGTACTAAGCACAAGAAAAGCTCCAAAAAATATTTTTTAAGCACTGACTGCATACAGACCCTTGAGTGAGGGCTGCAGCGGGAACAGAAGAGGCACAGGTAGAGCTTCGTGGTCAAGCAGGGGAGGCGGGTGTTCAGCATCTGCGCAGAGAATATCAAGTTACTTCCATGCAGTCATAATATGTGCTCTGAAGGATAACAGACACACATACACTGTACTGTATTGTTAATTTCAACAGTTGGAGAATGTAGCTTATATACATTAGCCATACAGTGAGATGGTTGCCACTAAAACATGAAAGACAGGCCAACAGTCAGGGTGCAGTTGCTCAGGGCTGTAATCCCAGCACTTTGAGAGGCCAGGATGGGAGGATTGCTGGAGCTCAGGAGTTCAAGGGCGCCAACCAGGGCAACATAGCAAGATCCCCATCTCTACAAAATAAATAAAACGTGTTCCGGTGTGGTGGCCTACTCCTATAGTCACATCTACTTGGGCAGCTGACGTGGTAGGATCTCTTGAGTCCAGAAGGTTGAGGCTGCAGCCTGGGGAACAGCGCAAGACCCTGTCTTAAAGACGTTTAGTGAGACTTAACGCCTCTAAAAATGCTCGCGATAATAGCATGAAGATAAAACTGGGATGCAACTCTGCAGGCCAGAGCCATTTGGAAGAAGCGACCAGAAGAAGAAAGCACTAGTGCGTGGCTGCGTGGCTGTTGAGGTGGTAGCGCTTTGCTAAACTGTTTTCCTTTATAGTTACTTCTCTTTCTCAAATCTTGATGAAAATGTACTGGTTTCATAGTAAAGATGGCCATAAAGTTACATATTCAGGCCGGGTGTGGTGGCTCATACCTGTAATCCCATCACTTCTGGAGGCTGAGGCAGGTGGATTGCTTGAGGCCAGGAGTTTGAGATGAGCCTGGCTAACATGGCAAAATTCCCCATCTCTGCCCCAAAATACAAAAATTAGCCAGGTGTGGTGGTGCACACCTGTAGTCCCAGTTCTTTGGGGTGTCACAGAACACCAGAATTGTTCAGAGAAGCCAAAGTGTCTTTACCAGCTGTCCACATAAGATCTTGAACTTGCCAATCAGAGGCCATGCCTGCTACTGAGATATGCTGTGGCCTTGTGAAAGCGTGGCCCCGCTGGGACTTCCTCAGTTGTGTTTTCTGCTTTGCTCTCCTTCAGCGACAAGACTCGGGGACGACGAAGAAGCTGCACACCACTGACGAGATCGGGGTGCCTGTTTCCAGGAATGGCCCCATGGCGGGCCTGAAGTCCCAGAACGGCTGTGTTCCTCCAAAGCTGCCCTCAGGGTCCCCTTCCCCCAAACTCTCCCAGACACCCACACACATGTCAACCCTCCTAGATGACCCTGGGAAGAAGGTGAAAAAGCCAGCTCCTCCACAGCACTCCTCCCCGTCCCCCAGAACTGCTCAGGGGCCACCCGCTACCAACAACTCGAGTAGCAGCAGATCTGGGAGCCAAAGACAGGGCTCGTGGGACAGCAGGGATGGCGTCCTCTCTACCTCACCTAAGCTCCTGGCTGCAGCCCCTGCCAACGGGCATGGGCTGAAGGGGAACGGCGAGAGTGCTGGCCTCGAGAGGAGGGGCTCCAGCAGCTCCAGCCCAGAGCACTCAGCCAGCAGTGACTCCTCCAAGGCCCCGCAGGCCCCCAGGAGCGGAGCTGCCCGTCTCTGCGATTCTCAGGAAAGAAACTGTTGCACCGCTGGTCACTCCAAAACGCCACCCAGTGGAGCGGACCCGAAGACGGCGAAGCCGAAGTCCCCTGTCCTGAGCAGCGCTGCTGCTGAGCCACCAAGCACCATGTCTCCTCCGCCAGCCAAAAAGCTGGCCCTTTCTGCCAAGAAGGTGGGTGCGCGGGGGCCTCACCACGGCTGTGTATCCAGGGAGCTGGAAGGGTTGGTTGGTTGGTTGTGGATTGGAGGGAGCAGGAATGTTGTCCAGGGGCTTCGGCCTCCGTCATGTCAGAGGAACAAAGTATGTTAGTCATTCCCAGCCGTTTGCAGTTACGGGAGGGCTGTCGGGGTGCAGGCAGTGGGGTGTTGAGGGAGCCCTGATCTGGTGACGCTTGTGTGGCTCATGGAGGTTTGGGCAAGGTAGCAGTTCCCTGTTGTCGCTGTAGGTAGAAGATCCTGAGTGAACCCAAGGGAAGGCGGGCCCCAGCAGGGCGCATCCCTGGCAGGGGTGGGGCGGGCAGGGAGCCGGAGCCCCAGTGGGTGTGCGGCACCTACCACGGGAAGCTCAGAAGGCAGCCGCGGCATAAGGATGTGATTGTTAGGCTGAGATCTCTGTTTAAATTTTCTTCCTTTTTTTGTTTCTAACCAAAAATACTTTCTGGTTCTTCTTCCGCCATTCCCCCGCCCCCCACCTCCTGTTTTTGTCTTCTGTCCCCTCATCTTTCTTTCTGGGCTCTTTTGTTTATATTTTCATTTTTTGTTACTTTTGTTTTCCCTCTTCACTCACGGAAACCTTTTTTAGACCACCAAGTTTTTATTTATGTCAATAACTGCAGGCCAGCACCCTGTGGAGGGCGATCGGCAATGACCTCCGTCCGCCTCCCCCCTCACCGTCCTCCGACCTCACCCACCCCACGAAAACCTCTCACCCCGTCGTTGCCTCCGCTTGGCCTGTCGGTAGAGCCAGGTGAGCTTCGGGCGGGACTGTCTGGGCGCCGACTGCCTTTCCCTGTGGTTGCGTGTGCTTGGCTGGTGAGGAGTTGACGGATCGCCAGCCTCGCAGGACGGACAGAGTATCGGGGCGGCCAGGAGGTATTGGGGGGGCGTCACCGACCAAGGTCCCCTTCCCCTGTGTTCCCCTGTGGTAAAGGAGCTTCGGGTGGTGAAGGCAGTTCAGCCTCCGCAGTCCTGATGTCTTAGTTCTGTCTTTGTTGGTGGTCTGTCTGTGACATCCATGTGGTGACGTGGTGTGCTGGGGGCTGACCCTGTAGCCCTACCAGCCCCGCGACAGTCCTTCCCAGTTGAAGAGAAGAGCAAGGTGAGGCCTTCACGAGAGGCCTTGAGTGAGCTTAGAGTCCCTGGTATTTTTTCTGGGGCATCTTGCCTGCTGGCGTCACGTGGCTGAGCACTGCTTTGGGGCTCGGGTTCCTCTGCAGACCCCTGCCGAAGATGCAGCCCCTCCCCTCTGCCGGAGGCCCTAGTCTGCAGGGGCTGCCTGTGCCCTGAGGTGCCTTGAGTGGCAGGAAGTTGAGAGTCACTGGTAAATGGCTGTCTAGAAGCCAGTGGGGGTGGGAAAGGAAGCATTGAAAGATGGGGTGAGCCCTGAGGCGGCCTGCAGTGACTAGGGTGGTAGCCTTGTCACTGGGTTCTAGTTGCATGAACCTCCAGTGCTGCCTGAGGGCGAGGTGTGACCGCATGGCCCATAGCCTCTGCCTTCCCCTCTCTCTCTGACACACACGCACAAGCACGCCTCTACCCTATACCTGGCATAAGACTTGAGTACGCAGGAGGCCGTTAAGTTTTTGGGTGTTTTTGTTTCTTGCTTTATAAGCGTTTTTGGAAAAGGTTCCAGAAGACACTTTGAGCAATCAGATGTTGTGCAGCTGGCATGTCTTTACGGTTGGTCCTTGTTTAGATGATGTCGATGGGGGTCCTGTTTACCTCAGGAGCCCTGGGAAGTGGGCTTTGTGGTCACAGCTCATTGACAGATGAGAACATGGCGGTTCAGAGTGGGAGACTAACTTTCCGAGGGACACATAGGTGGCAAGAGGGAGCCCCAAGAGCGTCACTGGGTTCGGCGCTAGATCCTGTCCCGACACGCCTTGCTCGTGGCTGCTCTGCGCCTCCATGTCCCGGCTTCCTGTAGTAGAAGCGTCATTAGGGCAACGCTTGCTTTCCTCATGAGGCGCTCTTCCTGCCTCGGGACACCCTGAGACTTTCCTAGGTAGGAAAATGAGTCCTCACATATTGTTTAATGAACGCTTCCTCCCTTAACACATTTGTATTAAAGACTCAAAACATTAGAGCTCACAGAAGTACTCCACCTGCTTGATGACAAGAAACCAAGGCGTGCAACAATTCTTAATAACTTTGCCTTTTTTGAGACGGAGTCTGGCTCTGTCACCCAAGCTGGAGTGCAGTGACGTGACCTCGGCTCACTGTAGCTTCCACCTCCTGGGTTCAAGCGATTCTCCTGCCTCAGCCTCCCGAGTAGCTGGAATTACAGGTGTGCACCACCACACCCAGCTGTTTTTTGTGTTTTTAGTAGAGTTGGGGTTTCACCGTGTTGGTCAGGCTGGTCTCGAACTCCTGACCTCGTGATCTGCCCGCCTTGGCCTCCCAAAGTGCTGGGATTACAAGCGTGAGCCACCGCGCCCAGCCTTTTTTGTTTAAGATCTGGGGCACCTGTGCAGGATGTGCAGGTTTGTTACAGAGGTGCCATCCACCACCTAGGTGACTTTGCTTTTAAATAGATGTTGAATTAATTGTTAGCCTTTTTTCAAACATATGTGTAACTTCATGTGTATCTGAAACCTACGGGGCAAAAGCCTTTACAGGTTTCTGGGTGAAAGGGAGGGGAGTGAGGGTGGACAAAAGGAATGGCTCTGCTGGATCTTTCAGAACATCCTCTCCCTCTTTCCTGGCTGTCCCCACAGGGCTGTGTCACCTGCTTCCCACTCATCCAGCCGCCTGCACCCCCCCTTTAGCCCCCACCCTACATTGCTGTCCAGTACCCCCAAACCCCCAGGGACGTCAGAACCACGGAGCGGCTCCTCCATCTCGATGGCCCTGCCTCAGGTCAATGGGGACCTTGTGTCCCTTCCACACCAGCTGCCAGAGGCCAGCGAGCCCCCCCGGAGCCCCTCTGAGAAGAGGAAAAAGACCCTCGTGGGAGAGCTCCAGAGGCCAGGCTCAGAGACGTGCCTCTCACAGCACGTCAGGGAGGCCACTGCGTCTCCCCACAGGAAGAGGAAGAAGAAGAGGAGGAAGTGCCCAGAGGCCACAGCTGCCGCCACCCTGCAGGAGGGGCAGATACAGAGACAGCGTGGGAGCCCCACGCACGGGAGGGAGGGCCAGGCACTGCTGCCTGCTGTCAGATGGCAGGAAGATGGCACATGGCCACAGGTGAATGGCCAGCAGGTGGTGTGTGTTCCGGACAGCCACCATGAGAACAGCAGGAAGCGGAGGAGGAAGGGAGCAGAGGGTCTCGGTGAAGAAGGCAGCCTGCACCAGGACCCACCTTGGCACAGGTAAGGGCAGGAGTGAGGTGGCACCTGTGCACCTCTGCTGAGAAACAAAGCAGAACCACAAAATCTACCCCCACGTAGGTATGGTCTGGAAATGTAGTCCACTTATCTGCTTACGTGGTTTTCTAAAAGGTGAATATGTGATAAAATGTCTCCTCTGGCCAGGTGCAGAGGCTCACGCCTGTAATCCTAGCACTTTGGGAGGCTGAAGCAGGCGAATCCCTTGAACCCAGGAGTTTGAGACCAACTTGGGCAACATGGCAAAGCCCCGTCTCTACCAAAAACAATAATTGGTTGGTCATGGTGGCATGGGCCTGTAGTCCCAGCTACGCAGGAGGCGGAGGTGGGAGAATGGTTTGAGCCCAGGAGGCGGAGGTTGCAGTGAGCTGAGATTGCGTCACTGCACTACAGCCTGGGTGACAGCCAGACTCTGTCTCAAAAAAAAAGAAAGACAAATATCTCCTCTGATAAATACCAGTGGATTGGTCCTTGAAATGACAGTGGTGTGGACAGTAGTGTCCATCATGGCATGAGCAGGGCTGTCCACGAATACTGGGTTAGGTGATCCCTGGCCGGGCAGGCTCTGCAGTCCTATCAGGTCCCAAGCAGCCTGCACATTGGCTTTGGCAGGCTTGGCTCAGTTAGGATGGGAAATGTGGCTGTCTCTGTGGCTGTGCGTGGAGCATCCACTAATGCGTGTAGAGGAAGAATGTTACGGGGAGCCCTGTGCACTGGGTCACAGCTGAGGTGGCATCTTCTCCATGCTGCCGGCGGGTGTCTGTGAGCTCCCTGGGTCACAGCTGGGGTGGCGACCTCCACGCTGCAGGCGGTGTCTGTGAACTCCCTGGGTCACAGCTGGGGTGGCGACCTCCACGCTGCAGGCGGTGTCTGTGAACTCCCTGGGTCACAGCTGGGGTGGCGACCTCCACGCTGCCGGCGGGTGTCTGTGAGCTCCCTGGGTCACAGCTGGGGTGGCGACCTCCACGCTGCCGGCGGGTGTCTGTGAGCTCTCTGGGTCACAGCTGGGGTGGCGACCTCCACGCTGCAGGCGGTGTCTGTGAACTCCCTGGGTCACAGCTGGGGTGGCGACCTCCACGCTGCAGGCGGGTGTCTGTGAGCTCCGTGGGTCACAGCTGGGGTGGCGACCTCCACGCTGCAGGCGGTGTCTGTGAGCTCCCTGGGTCACAGCTGGGGTGATGACCTCTCCATCCTGCAGGTGGGTGGGTCTGAGCTCCTTCTCCCCTTCCAACTTGCTCAGAGCTGACTGCTGCCTCTCACTTCCCAGGAGCTGCTCTCCCACGGGTGATGGTGATCCAGAGGCCATGGAAGAGTCTCCAAGGAAAAAGAAAAAGAAAAAAAGAAAGCAGGAGCCACAGCGGGCAGTAGACGAGGATGGGCATCTCGAAGGCCCGAGGAGTGCCAAGCCCCGAGACGCTGCTGTCCCTGAGTCCAGCAGCCACACACCAACTGTGAATGGCTGGTGTCCTGGGGACTGCATGGGTATGCATTTGGGCAAGGGGGGTGTTGGTGAGCTCACAGGCTGAGAGCAGCACCTACTGTGTCTGAGTTTGGGGGAGGGTCTGGGAGAAGATGTGGAGGACCCTGGGACCCTGCCAACCTTCAGCCCCCGCCCCTGAGTCTGTTCCCTTGGGTGTTGGGGTCAAAGCTTCCTTACATGTCAAAGTATTTGACTAAAACGACCCCACGGGAGAGGTTACAGTGCACATGAGCTTTAGAACATTCTGTGACTGCCGTGGGTCTTCCGATTCAAAGCTGTTCCTGTCTACAGCTTCCCATGAACTCCCAGCCTGAGTTTTTTTCTGTGACACTTGAACTTAGAAGGGTTGGGTTCAAAAGTTAATTTTCCTCTACCTTTATGTAGCTGGGCCTTTCAGATCATAGCATGGTGCTCTTGGTGTTGGGGACCTGTGTGCTGTGGCTGTGCTTGGGCACCACCCCCAGCTGCAGGGTCTTTTGTTTTCTTTAGGACTTGCTGGGGCATGCCTTGGCAGGCACCCCCCACAGAGCACACTTGTTAAGTGAAGGGTAGAGAACGTCCTGGCTGCTTGGTATAGGGGAGCGAGCTTGAGTGAGGCCTCCTCTGCTGTCTGGAAGATTCAATGGTGGCAGTGCATCTGGGGGCCAACAGAACCCTGGAGACTGATTCGTATTAATGCAACTCTTAAGAAAGGAATTTATGGATAACAATGAAATGGTATGGAATAGATCGCGGAATGTGGCTCAAGCCAGCATGTGGTCAGAAGCGTTGTGCTGAGGGTACGGGTGGGGGTAAAGAAGGGGCAGGCCTTCAAGTGACAGCGACGCGAGATGCAGCCACCGCAGGCTCGGACAGTTTATGAAAACCGAATATACAGCCTTAAAATAGATTGTGGACCTAAATACCCAGAAGCACCCCCCCCCTTTGTAAGATTTGTAACAAAAATTAATATGAATGGAGTTAAGAGTTCTAATGGAGTGGTGGACCCAAGAGTCATTTCAGTGCTAGCAAAATGGCAAAATTCATATAGCATCAAAGTTGTCCTACAAGAGCTTCCGCTCCTAATGGTGTCTAAAGAAAATACGAAATTCCCTCAGCCGCCTGAAGGTCGGTGTTACAGCAATTAATCAAAAAGAAAAACCACAGGCCCTTCCCTTCCCTCCCATTTGATTTAAGCAGTTGTTTCCCACAGTCGTAAATTTTCTAGATACATCTTGCAGACAAAGTACTGGAAAGGAAGCTCCCATTCAAAGGAGATTTATCTTAAGAAACGGTAAATGATACTAACTTCTTGTCCTTTTGAAATATATAAGTTGTGCTATATCAAAAGAAAGTGTTGCACCAACATTGCACCTGAGGTGTGCTCTGTGCTGCCCTCGCAGCAAAGCGGACTTGGCTTGTTAGTGCAGGAATTGAAGGGACATCACTTGAGCACTTGCCATATGCCCGCGTCCATGCCAGGTGCTGGCTGTACGTCCTGAGCAGTGCTCCCTGGGCCCTCGGACTCCCTGCCAGAGCCAGAACCACACAGTGATGGTTCATGCTTAGCAGGCAGGTACCGGGGGCTGTATGGGCTCTGGGGGAGAGTGCCTGGCCCCATCCCCTCTCTGTCTTGTGCACCAAGGAGAGTGGCTGAATGGGCTGGGTACCAGCCCCAAGGGCAGGAGGTGCAGCACGTTGGCAGCAGGCAGGCCGCTCTGTGTGGCCGGGTCTCAACTCTGTGGACAAGAGGGAGCCATGGATGCTGTTGTGCCAGGGCAGAGGATACTTAGCCTGGAGGTCACTGAGAACTGGAGGCAGGGAGAAGTGAGGTCATTAGCTTCCTGAGGACAGGCAGGGCCCTCGCCAGCTCTCTGGAGACCCAGTCTTCACAACGGCCCCTTCACACAGTGCCCTGGAGGTCATTTGTGTGAAGGAAAGTGAGTTTATTCCGGGGGCTTCGTGGCTGGCTGGGCAGAGGACTAGTTCAGAAATGGTGTCTACAGCCCACTGAGGGTGGTGAGTGCTGCCCTGGTCCTGACACGCTGGGTGGACCTGCACGGCACTGCGGACAGGGCTCGGGTTGGGGTCCCCATGGCAGCAGCCGAGCGTGGCCGTTCCCGCCGCCTCTGTAGCCGTTCCGGTGTCAGGCTGGTCGTGGGGCACAGGGCCTCTCCCTTAGGCAAGGCGGATTCCGTTTAAATCTGCTTCTCTTCCCTCCCTCCGACAGCCTGAGAACTTACTACACTGCTGGTGAAGGGGCTTTTGGAGGTTTTTTTGCTTCTGAGTTTTTGTGATTTTGTATGTTTTCTTTTTCATGAATCGACTTGGACAACAGCCTTCTCTGTTTCGTCAGAACTTTAGCAAATAAGCATTTGGGCTGGGCACGGTGGCTCATGCCTATAATCCCAGCACTTTGGGAGGTCACTGCAGGACAATCACTTGAGTCCTCAGGAGTTTGAAACCAGCCTGGGCAACATAGTGAGACCCTGTCTTAGAAGAAGGAAAAAAAAAGATGTGATTGTTTCCCTGGTGGGTTATTTTCAACGTTGATAAATGTTTCTTGGCTGCTCTGATTGCAGGGCTGGGCCCAGCCCCTCCTGTGTCTTGGAATGGAAAGCGAGAGTCTGATGTGGTGCAGGAACTGCTCAAATACTCCTCCGATAAGGCTTACGGGAGAAAAGGTACTGGTTTTGAGACAGGACTTGTTTGCCTTTGATTGGTTTACTCTGGAGGAGGGAAGGTGTGGAATGGACCCTAGTGTCCTGTGAGTGTGGAGGGCGGGCCTCGCTTGGGAGTGGGAACAAGAGCCTCAGCGCTTGCTGGAATCCTCTTTAAACCCTCGGCTGTGGCACGAAGGTGGCTTCCATCCGTGGCAGGATTCAGAACAGCTGCTTCTGAGGGTTGGGCCGGGCGAGGAGCCCAACCCTTGCTGGGTCTTGGGTAGGACACGGGCAGAGTGACCAAGCTCTTCCAACGTAGGCACTGTCACTTCTTACTTGGAGCAGGATTTAATTCAGACTTCGAGACAGAACATGAAATCTTTGTTCCGCAGACGAGGTCGTGGGTTGAGAGAGAACTAAACCGTGCGGCCGTGGGTTAGGGTCTAGCTCAGAGCGGGTCCAGCTGTCCTCTCGTCCTTCTGCTCGCCACAAGATGGCGCTCAAAATCGTTGACCGATTGTGCGTGTAGACTAGTCTCGGTAAATGACACTCTTCAAGTGAAGCCCCAGGGTACCTAGGAACCCACATTCTACCTGACACCTGTGTCTGCCTGGTAGTTCTGACCTGGGATGGCAGGGTGTCGGCGGTCAGCCAGGATGCAATTGAAGAGAGCAGACTGGCCCGGACCCAGACCGTGGTTGACGACTGGGACGAAGAGTTTGACCGAGGGAAGGTATGATGGGTGATGGTGCCCACAGGCCTGAGGGAGCCGGGTGGCGTGGCTCAGCTCGGGGCCGGGGTGGGGAACTGCATGTGGCCAGGGCAGTGGGAGGTGGCAGCAGCGGCGTGAAGCAGCTGAGCACACGAGCCAGGCTGCCCAGGCCTGTCTGGGCGGGTGGCTGTGGACAGGGCGTGCGTCCTCACAGCTTCTGCCACTTTGTCAGTAGAGGGGGACAGCAGGGTGTGGTGCGAAGGGGGCGTTGTGAAGAGTGGGTCTCCAGAGAGCTCTCGAGAGCCCTGCCTGTTTGCAGGAAGCTGGTGACTTGCATGGAGCCCCATAAGCCAGGAAAGAACCCTTTTTGGGAACTGTGATACCGGTGATTCTTTGTCTAGGAAAAGAAAATTAAAAAATATAAGAGAGAGAAGAGGAGAAATTTCAACGCCTTCCAGAAACTTCAGACTCGACGGAACTTTTGGTCCGTGACTCACCCAGCGAAGGCTGCCAGTCTCAGCTACCGCCGCTGACGGTGCCATTGTGGAAGAGGTCGGTTCCGTGCGGGGGCTGTGGGGGTGTTCGTGTGTATGTGTGTTGGGGGTGTGTATAGAGGGTGTGGCAGGGTGTGTCGTGTGTGTGTGATGTATGTGGGCTGTGTATCTGGCATGTGTGTTAGGTGGTGTGGGCATGTCTATGGTGTGTATCCTAGTCACTTGGAGAAAAGTGTGTGTGGGATGTGTGTGTGTAAGGGGGTGCCTGTAGCGTGTGTACACCTGGTGTGTGTGTGCATTTGTGGTGTGTGTCCCGGTCAGTTGCAGAAGGGTGTGTAGGTTGTGTGTGCAGTATGTGTGAGATGTGGGGTGTATGTATATCTGGCATGTGTCCCCATCATTTGCAGAAGGGTGTGTGGAATGTGGGGTGTGTATATCTGGCATGTCCTGGTCACTTGAAGAAGGGCGTATGGGGTTTGCTGGCTGCATCGAGGTGCCGTGCCTTGGGTTCCTGGGTTGGACTCATACCGAGGGTGGCCATGGGAAGATGGAGTCCTGTTTCTCACTGTCAGGACTGCTGTGCTTTGTTCTGCAGCCTCCTGGAGACAAGGCGTCCCTTCCTGGGAGCTGTCCTTGTGGGCCTGAGGGAGCCTTCTGTGTGGGCTCTGCTGCCATGGTAGGAGCTCTCCCGGTATCAGTGTCCACAGACGACCCGATGTAGAGCCTCTGAGGCTTCTCTAGATTGGGACCTCTTTGGTGACATTCCCAACCAGTTCTGCAAGAGAAGCTCCAGTGTGTGTGGAGCAGAGGTGGCCGCACGCCTGCTGGACAGCTGCGCCGGGCTGCGTGATCTCACGTTCATGGACAGTGTCCGTGCTGGCAGAGGCTCCTGCCCCTGGTTGGGGCTATCGAGAGAGTGGGGGATGGTGGCCACTCGTCCCCCAGGTGGCCTCCTGGTGCGTGGCTGGTTGCTCTTTGCGAGCCATCCCTTGCTCCTTGGGGCTGGCACTACCGTTGTGTCTGAGTCCGCCCTCCCCGCTTCCTCTGTGGGGCCCCTTTGTTGGCCTCACCTGTACTTAGAAAGGAAGAGCCCTGAGGCCGACCCCAGCCAGCCACCTCTCCCTTTTATGGAATTCAAGAGGGTGACCCTGCTGTGCAGCCCTTTCTTGTGAGTAACTCTCGACTGTCCTGGAGAGCAGAGGCTGTTTGGGGTCAGGGGAGCCCTTGATATTACCTGCGAATACATCTGCTTTCAAGGCTGCTCGGCTGTGCTGTAGCTTCCCTCGAAGCTGCAGTAACCCACAGGTCTTCACTGAGGTGGTGGCCTTGGGGTAGAATTCTCCATTTATTTTACTACTTAATACAAAACATTTATTTTTGACCAGGCCTGTGGCTTCCATTAGCAATATGTTTCCTTTCCCAAATATGAAAATAGCGGCTTTGTTTGCTCAATTTTGTGAGTGCTTTGGAATTTAAATGATTGTATAACTCAAGATTACTTTTCTATCTTGCTCAAGCTGTGCCTGCCAACTTGTAATTAAATAAATATGGGAAATCCTCAGAGAAGGGGATGTTTCAAGAAAAAGACAAATGCCCTCATAGGAGTGGGAAGCGTAAAGGTGACGATGACACCCTTCCTTGTCGGGTCTCTCCCCAGCATTTCCTCCCGGTGTCATTGCAGCTGGAGATGGACTTGGTGTTGGACTCAGAGCTCCTTCGGTGTGGCTCCGCGGGGCCGGAGGCGTCCTGCCGTCCAGGGGGCTGCCTCGCTCTCTGCATCTCTTCCTGGGGCAGCTTTGCTTCCTGCCTCCGTGCTTGAGGCCTGGGTGGTTACCGGTTGTAGAAAGAATTGCCTTTTTAATAAGGGAAGATACATTTATTTTTTCCACGTGGGTGGGTGGCTCTTTTTGGATTTTCTTCCGTTTTTTACGTTTGTTTTTAGAAAGGTGGGAGAGAATCATGCTCCCGTGGCTGCCTCTGTCCCAGCAGCAGCAAGTGGAAGCCTGACCGGGTCAGGGTGTCTTCCTCGCTCTCCTGCGGACCAGTCTCTGAATGTTCAAAGATGAGGGCCTGGCTTCCACGCTCTGGCTTTGTAACTTACCTGGGAGGGAAAGCACATGCCTTCATGGGCAGGCTGTGTTCCTCTTCCTCCCGGTGTCGACTTGCGTTCCTGCGTGAACTGTTTCCTCTGCCATGGTTTCCGCGTGGTGTTCTGTAGTTGAAAATTAGTTGTCTGCTAGCACAATCCGTCTCCTTCCTTTCTCTCCTCCCAATCAGTCTCTTCTCTTCTCCACTAGAAACTGTAAAACCTTTTCCTGAGGGACACACGTTGATTAACTCTTGGGCAGTAGTGAGCACGAGATGACTTCTGCAGCCTTTATCAGTGTTGGGTGGAGTCCTGTCCCTTCTGTCCACGGGAGCCATCAGCTAGACGGGAGGAAAGATGAGGTCCAGAAAACGAGCTCATACCCCAGGCGATGTGCACGTGTGGAGGTGACGTCAGTAAGTCGCGCCTTGGTCGTAGCAGTCAACTTCGTTGACTTGGGATCTGGGTCGATTGAGTTCTGTGCTTGGAAATGGAGCTGGAGCGAGCAGGGCCTGTGCACAGCGCTGCCTCTCCTGGGTCCTCTCTCTCACCTGCCCCGCGTGCTGGTTGCATGGCCGCACCTGTCTGTGTGCAGGGCTCTGTGTCCTCCTCTGCACTTCCTCTCCAGGGGCCCGGGGAGCCCCACATGTTGCCAAGATCTTGGTGCAATAAAATCCTCTGTTTTTGTGAGTCCTGTGTCTTTGTTTTTTCACTTGATTTTTAAAAAGGTACTTCCCAGGCCGGGCGCGGTGGCTCAAGCCTGTAATCCCAGCACTTTGGGAGGCCGAGGCGGGTGGATCACGAGGCCGAGAGATCGAGACCATCCTGGTCAACATGGTGAAACCCCGTCTCTACTAAAAATACAAAAAAAAAATTAGCTGGGCATGGTGGCGTGTGCCTGTAATCCCAGCTACTCAGGAGGCTGAGGCAGGAGAATTGCCTGAACCCAGGAGGCGGAGGTTGCGGGGTTGCGGTGAGCCGAGATCGCGCCATTGCACTCCAGCCTGGGTAACAAGAGTGAAACTCCGTCTGAAAAAAAAAAAAAAAAAAAAAAAAAGGTACTTCCCAACCAGGGTCTTGCTGATTCCACCTGTTCTGGAAGTTGAGGTTGGGCTAGGAGGGGCAGGTAGGCCCCTGCAGGGAGCCCAGTGACCAGGAGGTTACATTTGGTGAGAGCAGCCCTAGGGAACGGGGTGACCAGGAGACTGAACCCCGGGTCGCAGGCGGGTGGCGGCGCAGGAGGTCCTGTCATGAATGCCCTCCGCACCTCTGTGACTTGACATGTGTGTCTCGTCACCTCCTCCCCGAGCAACTTGGAAGCTTTCTCTACCCCAGGGTGTCCACCAGAGGATGTCATGTCTTCGCTTCTCCCTTGGGGTTTGGCTGGACACCCCAAAATGAGGACAGCCAAGTAAGAAGAAGGGAGATGAGGTAGCTCCTGGATGACTCAAACCAAAGGGGCGGCAGAGGGTGGGGCACACTGTGGACCCAGAGGTCTTGTCTGAAGGCATTTGCATCGTAGCCTGGGCAGCGGTTGAGGGGTTCTGAGACTTGGAGAGGTGGTGACCTGACACCAGTGCTGGGCACAGTGGCGACACGGGCGAGACTGGTTTTTCCATTCCTTTCATTTTGTTTTGAGACAGAGTCTCACTCTATCACCCAGGCTGGAATACAGTGGCACGATCTCGGCTCACTGCAACCTCCACCTCCCAGGCTCAAGCTATTCTCCTGCCTCAGCCTCCCGAGTAGCTGGCATTACAGGTGCACACCACCACGCCCAACCAATTTTTATATTTTTAGTGGAGACGGTTTCACCATGTTGGCCAGGCTGGTCTCAATCTCCTGACATAGCGGTCCGCCTGCCTTGGCCAGTTTTTCCATTCTTTTTTCTTTTTTTTTGAGACGGAGTTTTCGCTCTTGTTACCCAGGCTGGAGTGCAATGGCGCGATCTCGGCTCACCGCAACCTCCGCCTCCTGGGTTCAGGCAATTCTCCTGCCTCAGCCTCCTGAGTAGCTGGGATTACAGGCACGTACCACCATGCCCAGCTAATTTTTTTTTTGTATTTTTAGTAGAGACGGGGTTTCACCATGTTGACCAGGATGGTCTCGATCTCTCGACCTCGTGATCCACCCTCCTCGGCCTCCCAAAGTGCTGGGATTACAGGCTTGAGCCACCGCGCCCGGCCCCAGTTTTTCCATTCTTAACTGCTGTTTCCCACACACTGGGGCCGCTTCTGGGTGTGTAAAGGTGAACACACTGATGTGGTCTCGCAGGCAGAGGGCAGGTCCACGGACAGCACTGATGGCTCGAGGGCAGGGCGGGTGCTGTTAGGGAGATACAAGGCGGCACCACGGGGTGAGGTGACATTCAGAAAGGGGGTCAGATGTGGGACCTGGCTAGTGGGACTTGGCTGGTAACGATAAGTCAGGACCAAAATCGCAGGGTAGATTTTGGTTGACAGGAAGGGTCTGCTGTTTGTCTAATGTGCTTTCTAGACTCCCGAGGCTGGAAGTGGATTCCAGGCTGCCTGACGGCCCGACAGGCGGCAGGTGGGGCTCAGGGGACAGCAGGTGAGGATGACCAGACCACCAGGCTGGCCAAGAAGTGGCCGAGGCTGGAGCTAAGAGATTGGTAATAGTAGCAGAGGCTAGAAGTGGGGTCACTTGGATATTTAGGAGAAGAGGTGAGGTGACGGGACAGTTCTGGGTGGAGTTTAAGATGATTTTTGCTAGGGTGGTCAGTTGAGTTCAGAGGCCAAGTAGTAGTCAGAGAAGCAGGTGGCCCACTGATGTTTTCAGGAAGGCCTTTAGGTGGCGAGAGATTCTGTCTGACATTGTTGGCATGTTACCAGAACAGGGAACCCAGGAAGAACCCTAGGCATGGGAAGTAGGCAGTGGGTGAGCCCTAAGTCCTCCAGTTAGGAAAAAGCCCAGGTGTCTGGACACTGGGAAATCAGGTGGGCATCCATTTGTCCCTAACACAGTGATAGGGCTCGTTGTGACTATGACAGCGACCCGCAGGCCAGTTTAACACTGGATGCTATGAGAATCCCTGCCTCGAGTCTTCATAGCTTGGACAAACTTAGTGCAGATGAGGTTGTGGGAAAGTGAGGGGCTGGTGGTTAGAGGAGGACCGTGTGTAGACAGATCCCGTGGCATGCAGAGGTGCAGCTTTCTGTGCCTTCTCACCTGAGCCAACTCCCTGGAGCTCACACTTTGCCCAGAGGTGGCCCTGCTGCTGCTTCCTACAGACCCCACCTTGACTCGGCCCCCACTCCTTCTGCATCTGGGCTGGGGATGACCCTTGGAGAAGGCGGCCTGGGTGCCATGGACTCGGCTTTCAGGGCTGTCTGGCTGCCCTTCCCTGGGCTCTGCCTGCCTTTTCGGATTTCTGTCCTTGGTCTCTTACTCATCTTTTTCAGTGATGATTGCAAACTGTTTTGCTTTCCCATTGTGTATGTGCCCACTACCCTTGGCAGGTGACTTCCGATGCTACCTCAAGAATCCCCACCCACCCCCAAAAATTAAACAACACAGGAAAACCAAAGTTAAAAGCAGCTCCTCTCCCTCTGTTCCCTTCTCCCTCCTACCTCAGGGTTCTCTGTGCTTGTGGGGCAGCAGGAGCTCTTGGGGAGAGGCATTTGATACTGACATACATGGTATCAGAATCCATGGGTGAGGCTTGGGCATTGGCATTTAAACCTTCCCGGGGTATCAAGCAGCAGGGTTGAGAGCTGCTGTCCTGGTCCCCGGTCTCAAACTTGAGTGAGCGCCAGCATCGCCAGGGAGTCCTTAAAACACCAGGTGCTGGGCTCCTTCCCCACATTCTGATTCAGCAGGTCTGGGATGAGGCCTGAGAATGTGCATGTCCAGCAGTCCCCAGGGCAGCTGCTGGGCAGACCCAGTATTCTGATCTGATGTCTCGAAGAGGGGCTGCGTGGTGGGCATGGGAGAGCGGGAAAGAAGTGTAGTGTGGGGGCTGTTCCTCCATCCTCTGTGGGGACCTCTGCTAGAGATGCTAGACCAAGTGTACCCTCTGTGTATGCTGGCACCCACCTGTGCCCTTGAAGCCAGCCTCGTCCACCCTGGGGGCCTTGCTCCACGAACTGCCCCATCGCCTCCCGTGTCTCACTCTTTTCTCTTGGGAACATGTTCAGGCATCTCCCATCCTAAAGAGCCCTGGTTTCCTTGTGTCCCCTCTCGGCCACCGTCTCCCTCAGTTGACGTTCAGTTTGTTCTGTGTTGATTCTCCATAGTTTGCAGTCTAGTCATCACTCCTCAGTGACCTGATCCCCACATTTCATGGCACTTGCCACCGACTTCTTCCCAGGATTTGACACTTCACCTCCGCACCCCGGAGCTCCTCTAAGATGTGAGTCTGTTGCATCTGATGCACACTCTAGATCAAGCCCAGAATAAACCGATCCAGTCAATACCTCCCACTGAAGTCAGTCGGCCGGTCCAGCCACTCCATCCCACTTACCAGTCGACCCATCCACCCTCTGTCGGGATCTCTACTGTAGACACTGGAAGGGGTGCCCCGTCAGTGGAGGATCCTGGCCTCAGATAGTCCTCTGGCCTCAAATAATCCTCTCACCTTGGCCTCCTGAAGCATTGTGATTGTAGTAGGGCACACTCCCAAAGCCACTGTGCCCTGCCTCCAGGACAGTCTTTAAGACGAGAAACATGAATCCAGTCATCAAATCCTGACAGGTTTCCCACTTCTGTTCAGAGAATATAGTCTCCTCTATTCTGTGACCCAAATCGCCCCTGCCTCTTCAGTCTTCCACAGCCCTCTGGAGGCCTCTGGGCAGCTGTCCAGGCCATTGTTCTGGGATGGCAGAAGGCACTACAGGCATTGAGGAAATCGCCCCCTGACAGGAGCCTGAGATTAAAAATGTGCGTGCTCTTAGCAGAACCTGTCCTGAATCATTGCTTATTCGAGTTGCTTTCTCAAGGGGAAACTGCTGTATATTTTTCCTTCTTTAAAAGGATTAAAGGAAGGTCAGGCTGGAGTCAGGTTTGAATCATGACTTCCTAGAGAAAGAAGGCCTGATCGGGAATCAAGACCTGTGTTCTAAGGGGTCTGCCATGAGTTGGCATCGTTAATTTGGTTTTCTCCTCTAAAATGCAAAGCTTACATTCAAATCCTCATGACTGTCAGCTGTCACTGTCACGGTGCGTGTCTTGCATGTGTGTTTTCATTGGTTTTCTCCCTGTCTGCTTTATTGATTAGAGGAAGCAATAGGACACGACTGCCAGGTATCCATTAGGCGTTGTGTGAGAAACAGCTCACAAGATTGCTGCTAAGAAGTATTTAGGAAGCTTCTTCCCATCATGAGACCAGATTTTAACACATAGTCTAAGTACATGGCAAATACTTGCTGTGAAATGTGTGCAGGGAGTTCAAGTTCTTTTACATAAACCGATGGTTTTTTTCATGGCCATTTGAGAATGAATGTGTTGGCCAGGTGCAGTGGCTCATGCCTGCAATCGCAGCACTTCGGGAAGCCAAGGTGGGTGGATCACCTGAGGGCAGGAGTTTGAGACCAGCCTGACCAATATGGTGAAACCCCGTTGCTATTAAAAATACAAAAATTAGCTGGGCATGGTGGTGGGCACCTGTAATCCCAGCTACCCAGGAGGCTGAGGCAGGAGAATCACTTGAACCTGGGATACTGAGATTGCAG